GGCTCCTCAGGAAGTGGACTCTGACCCTCAGAGACTGAGTTTCCTGCCAGGAGTTTATCAAAAGGTCCCCAGAAATCAGTGCCTGCCAGAAGCTAGAACAGCAGGAGGAATTTGCTAGGCAAGCTCCCAGGGAGCTCTGGAGCCAGAATGGCCCCAGGCTGAGAGGGCCACAGGCCTCATACCCTGACGTGGAATGGTGGCTGGATGGAGCCCCCCTGGGAAGGCCTGCCCTTGGGAACATGGGTCTCTACAGCAGAGGTGCAGTGGACAGAAGGAATCGGCAAATGCTTATAGAAATGTATGGAGTCTTAATTTGCATAAGCACTTCTAATTTAGAAATTAGACTAAGAAATTCCATTTCCAAGCCTGCAGTTTAACTCCAGGAATACACTTTCTGCCAGAACTTACTACAAAGAGGTTTAGGTTTGCAGGAATAAATGACTTTCTTCTTTCTTTCCCTTCCTTCCTACCTCCTTCCTAATTCCTTCCCTTCTTCCCTTCATCCATTTCTTTTTCCTTCCCTTTCTTCCCTTCTCCTTCCCTCCCTCCCTCTCTCCCTTCCTTCTTTCTTTTTGGTTTGATGGATATTTTCTTGGAAATGTGTGTCAAATAAGTCGGGGTAGGTCAAGTTAATGAGCCCTGCAATAAATCCTGATAAATAAAAACACTGGAGAATGTCATTCACACTCAGATATGATCTTCCATATATACCTAACTTCTATAAGTGTAATTAACATGTAATTAATTTATTTACATGTAATAGTGTATGTTAAAATGTAAAGAGAAAACTAGAGGGAAACGTGGAGTTCCACTTACCTGCATGGGGAGCACCGCCCCTTGGGTGAGCAATGCCTGCAGCAGAGATGAACCCATGGGAGCCGCTAGAAAAGGCGTGGTGCTGGAGCAGGAGTAAGAGCGAGGGAAAGACCACAAAAGTGGATGCAAAGTCAAGGTAGGCAGGTGGCAGGGGGAGGTCAAGGCCTCTGAGACCAATGCCCAGCGAAATGTGGAGGAGACTCCCCATCGCAACCGGAAGAAAGTGTTAAATGTTTAGTGCAACTGCTTCCTCTTCTATCAGGAGAGCAAATCCAGAGAGAAGCGCTCTACCATTAGGCATATTCCAAATCCGCAACTGCCTGCAAGAATGGCCAGACATGATACGAAACCTCGAATTCCTGGAACTTTCAGGGGCAGTTCCTTCACTTCTGACCCTATTCCACTTTGGCCACTTCCCACCAAAGGACAACGGGGAGGAAGATGCCCCTCTTGCTTGTCCTTTTATCTAGGGAAGAATGAATGAACTCTATCACATGCCTGAGAAAAATCTTTTCCCAAATCAGGTGCTAAGAAACCTGTTGTGAACAGTGCTGACGGTAAGCAGAGGTCAGCACGCCTGGTCGTGCACATCCACACCTGGACTAGCTCCTTGCACGCGACACCTGAACACCACGATGGGACCAGCACGCCCGTCCTGCACATCCGTCCACACCTGATGTGGCACCTTCGATGCATCACCCTGGACATTTTTTTTAAATACTGGGAACATTTCTCCAACGACAGGAATGTGCAGGGATCAAATGAAACAGATAATGATGACCTGGCATACCCTGGGAACAAAGACAAGTGACTTTCTCTAACCTGGGCCTTGAGATAAAGAGAAAAGGATGAGGAATTTCCCAGGTTGGGTTAGACAGGAACGATGGGTGGAAGGGTAAAGACGATAGAGGAAAGCGGGGTGTCCCAAGCCCCAGCGACATGTGCAAGGACCTGTCGCAGCACATCGCATCTTCAGGACCCCAAGGTGCAATTCGGTGTGGCTGGAGAATACTGCTCTATCAAAATTCAAAGCTTAAGTCAGATAAAAGGATCAAAAGACACACACCAGGTGGACTGAGAAGGATGGGGGAACAAGTGAAATGCATTAAGTGAAAAGGGAACTTACTCATTAAAAGTCTTCCTTTCTGAAAGCTACTAGTTCTTTAGAAACCAAAGGATTTCAAACAAAGTAAGTATGATTAAGATCTATATCCAATAGTCTGGCAACGTACAAAACACGCCAACATTAGTTTTTAAGAAAATACAGGGCCGGATGTGGTGGCTGACGCCTGTAATCCCAGCACTTTGGGAGGCTGGGGTGGGCAGATCACCTGAGGTCAGGAGTTCAAGACCACCCTGGACAACATGGTGAAACCACCATGTCTACTAAAAATACAAAAAAATTAGCCAGGCATGGTGAAGCATAACTATAATCCCAGCTACTCAGGAGGCTGAGGCAGGAGAATAGCTTGAACACAGGAGGCAGAGGTTGCAGTGAGCAACCATTGTACTCCAGCCTAGGCAACAGAGTAACTCAGTCTCAAAAAAAAAAAAAAAAAAAAAAATACAAGTGTCTGAAAATTAAACACTTATGGAAAAAACAATTTCATCATCAAATATGATGATTCTATAAATTACCAAAAACAAACCTCTAGCTAAAACCGCAAAGCAACGCCTCCTGCGTGCCACCGGCCAGGCTCCTCCATGGCAGTACTTCCTGCCTCCACCCGGCCATGCTCTCTCCTCTTTCCTGGTTCTTGGGAAGCAGGTCTGGTGTGCAGAAGGCAAACTTTGCCCAATGCAGCTGTTACACCAGCAGGCAGAGATGTGGCCATGCAGTGTGTGCTATAAGTGGGTGGGAAGGAGTCAGGAGTTCGCCCCTCCTCGCAGGGCCATAGCAGAGCACACAGGGCCGCAGGCAGGGCCACAACGCAAAGTCTGATGACACATGAGGGGCCAGTTAGACCTTACCTTGTTCATTTTCTAAGGGCAGCAAGATTCCTTTTTTTAAAAAAAAATGTATCATGGCATAAGTTTCACATTCAAAAACGCTTTCCCTCCTACCTTGGAGGCCTTGCTGTTTGCGTCTGTCTGCCATTGTCACTCACCCAGCACACACCAGGGTTCCTTGAACCTGAGGACACTTTTCCAATCTGACTTCCTTGGGGAAACTTGGTCAGCCTAGAGATCCTCTGGCCAAGTCTCTCAGCTGATCTTGTCATCTTGGTCTTCTTGCTAAACATAGAGTTCTTCGAAATTACCTTTGAGGTTACTGATTTTGAGTCATCCCATTATTCAGCCCTGCTATTGAATTATCTTAGGCCAACAATGATTTTTAATTAAAGATAGCTTTGATCATAACCTCTTTCGTACAGCCTCTTTTGGGTACAAGTTTACCTCAAATTTCTGAGCAGCATAATCAGGTTTGTCTTATTCCATTCAGGTTCCTAAAGTACCCTGGATTGGATCCTTTATAAAGAATGGAAGTGTGGTGCTCACAGCTCAGATGGCTGAAGTCCAAGGTCAAGGCACCAGCAGGTTCAGCATCTGCCTGTTTCCTCACAGGCAGCACCTCCTCACTGTGTCTTCACACACTGAAAGGGGCAAAGCAGCTCTCCGGGGCCTCCTATAAGGGCGCTAGTGACCTCACCAACTTCCAGAGGCCCCATCTAATTCCATCCTACGTGGGATTAGGTTTCAATGCATAGGCGGACACGTTCAGTCCTTCACAGGTTTTTATTCTTGAATTATCTTCTGTGATTACATTTTCTCCAAGATCAGTTCTCTTTCATGACATGCTACTCACTTTCCTTAAACGTCAGATACCCTTGTTGACCATGTAGAACTCTGAACGCAGCATTAGGACAACTCACAAAGGTAGCTGCCCTGGATTTCCTCCCGCCATGTCCCTTCCTAGAGCAGGGATACTAGGCTGGGTGCCGTGGCTCACACCTGTAATCCCATCACTTTGGGAGGTGAAGGCAGGTGGATCACCTGAGGTCAGGAGTTCAAGACCAGCCTGGCCAACATGGCGAAACCCCATCTCCACTAAAACTACAAAAATTAGCTGGGTATGGTGGCAGGCATTTGTAATCCCAGCAACTCGGGAGGCTGTGGCAGGACAATCACTTGAACCCAGGAGGCGGAGGTTGAAGTGAGCCGAGATTATGCCATTGCACTCCACTCTGGGCAACAAGAGCAAAACTCCACCACCAAAAAAAAAAAAAAAAAAAAAAAAAAAAAAAGGGAGACTAGGGGCATGGACTGCTCAGAGGATAGGGGTAAGATTAGTGTGCATGGACAGAGAACTGATGGGGAATCCCTCCCCACTCTATGCCAAACAGGAGGGCTCCAACTTGGGCTGGGTGCATTTTTCTCCAGGAAGAGCTGCCTCTTCCTGTCCTGTCCTCTGCCCGTGTCCTTCGTGAACCACCACCACAGCAGAGCTGCACAGAGGGCACCGCCTTCAGAGATCCTGCTCCAGCTGAGCCTAGTGGGTGGATCAACTTCACAGGACGGCCTTCTCCTGAACCAGATATCCCTCCTGCAGACTTTAATCTAGGGGCCTCTCCAGGTTTAGGGTAAGGAAAACTGTCCCCCCAAATTTTGTAGATTGTCCCAGCTGCCTGGCCAGAAACCACATTCTCCAGGCCCCATGTCAGTGCTCAAGCCTATTTACAGCCCCACAGATACTGAGCACATACTAGGGGACAAGAGCAGTGCCAGGTATACACTGGTTTAAAAGAATATCCCTGTTCTCACAGAGCTCACAGTTAACAACAACAAAAAAAGTCCATTTCAGAGTATGCTGAGATTAATAAAATAAAATGGGTAAATGCAACTGGTGGGGCAGGGACAGGGAGGAGAATGGACATCTCCCTTAGGTCTGGAAGCTTCTTTGAACATGAGACCAAAACAAACCAGCTTCCCTACATTTCTAAGGGAAGGACATTCAGACACGGAGGAGCAAATATGACATCTTGAGACAGGAAGGGCTTTGGTAGGCCCAGGTACAGAGGCTGTGCGGCAGTGAGCTGGCCCAGCTCTGGCGCTTGGGCAGGAGAGGGGCGAGAGGAGGGGAGGGAGGGCTGGAGGCAAGTGGGGGCAGGGGCTAATGACAGCATCTATATAACTGCCCATTGGTTGTTATCCATGATGAAGTATAAAAGCACAAATGAGTACCAACAGAGAGAAAAATGATTTTTATTCATTTGTAGTTATCAATAAAAGACCTAGCATTTTAAAAACTCCATTGTAAAACATAGGTTACCATAAAAATGTATTTCACAGGTTAATATTTCAATATTTAACAGAAAACGTGTCACATGCAAAACCTGTCACTTCACATCTTCGATTTTAATAAGTTGATAATACCTAATCAAAAAGTACATGTGAAAACAAAGCTTTTTCATAGTTGAACTTTAAGTCATTAAAAATTATTCAATAAGATGTATGTAGTGCTGGCTGGGTGTGGTGGTTCACACCTGTAATCCCAGCACCTTGAGAGGTTGAGGCAAGCGGATCATGAGATCAGGACTTCAAGATCAGCCTGACCAACATGGTGAAACCCCATCGCTACTAAAAATACAAAAGTTAGCCGGATGTGGTGGCACGTGCCTGTAATCCCAGCTACTTGGGAGGCTGAGGCAGGATAATCACTTGAACCTGGGAGGTGGAGGCTGCGTTGAGCAGAGATCGCACCACTGCACTCCAGCCTGGGCGACAGAGTGAGACTGTTTCAAAAAAAAAAAAAAAAAAAAAAAAAGATGTATGTAGTGCTAATAAAAAAGTTTCATATTTTTTCTCTTACCCTCCCAAATATTATCGAAAGGTCTGACTCTCTGGGTAACAAAAGTGACATATTTCAGTTGCTACTGTTCAACAGTTTCATAAATTTAAAAAGCCACATCCTGTTATGCTTTCAAATCATTTCACTGAAACCTAACTCCTATCAAAGAATATTAAGATAAATCACACAATGTGATCCAGATTCCAGAGGCCAGAACACAACTACAGTGCTTTTAGAAAGTGACTGTTTTCAGAGATGACTTACAAAGAAATGCATTTTGTAACAGGCACACTGGGTCACTGCAACAAGATGACATCTGTACATGGTGCTGTTTACTCACTAAGAAATGAAGAACCTGAAGGCGACTGAGATGGCAGCTCACAGGCGGAGGGCAGAAATGCACAGGCTTCCAGGCTGCCCAGCCCTTTATGTCCTACTTCCTCTTGATGTTTACAGCTCAGTTTCACTTAAATTTTAAAAAGCCAGATTCTGTAACACAGCCTTAATCCTTATATTTTCATCTCCTCTACATTTTAGAGCCCAAGAAGTATTTCTGCAATATTTAGGCTAATATGAAATGAGAAACTGGCACTACACAGGTCATGCAGTCTGCTTACTTACCGAGATCGACGAATTATGTCTAATTTGCTCCTTTTACTAATAAAGGTAACTTTTAGTATAAAGCCATAATTACAAAGTACAAAAACAGCGCAATCCTAGCTTTACTTATACATAAATACGCATGCATCACTTTCTATTGTTTTTTTCTACTTGCACATTTTAAAATACTTTCGTATTATACACATCTGTGACCTACATCATAGCAGTAATGCTTTAACTGTATACATGAGACTGCGGAAATTCTATTATTGGCTCTATTTTTAAGGGCTACAATGAAATTATGTACAGTATATAAAGCTTGTCAAACTGAACATGGTCTTAGGCCATTACTACTATTTCATTCCAATTTGGATTTTAATACAATTAACTTACAGATCTGAAATAAAAGCACTGCTTAATGGTTTCAGATGCATTTTGGTATTGAATATGTTTAAAGGAATCTTTACAAATAATAAATTATAATGAAGAGAACTTGCAACTAAAGCTGCTTACGTGGACAACAGGAGAAATGGCGATTGCAAATGTTATCTGTTATTGACAATTCTATGAATTAAAACTCATAGCCACTTCTAGATTTTTTAAAACAAGCAAAACTAAATAGCACACACAAGAGTACTTTAATATAACCTTAATGGTCTAACAAACCTTCCAAATGGAAGGAAATACAAAATAAAGTTGACACATCAAATTTAAATTATACTAATATACTTCAGTATTATAACTTTACCAAGTCATTTTGCCAACTATGTGTAGAACCACCTAATATTAAAATATATACTATGGTGGGTAAGCTCTGATTCCAGAGGGCTAAAGCCAAGGTTTTCAAAGATCACAGGTACCAGCAGCCACACACACAAAGGGTTGTGTGATCCTACAGCTTCAATGACACCTTTCATCAGGCTCTTAACACTGGTGTTTTCATGGGTTCCCCCCGGTAATGAAACTGAGTGTAGATAATTTTCATAAAGAAATGTACAGTTAAAAATATTAAATCTTCCACACATGGGCTCAAATAGGAAGTATTTTGTTTAGTAAAATGAAAAATTAATTTTAAAAAATATCTGCAGTCTTTTTGAAACACAAGGCACCAACAGAGAGCAGACATTCCAGCAGAGTGATTGTCTGGAGAAAAAAATGGAACTGATCAGTCCTTTGTCCTTCGTTAATTAGAATACTTCCTTCTTCATGTCTATGCAACATCTTCCAGATAATCTGCAACATCACTGAGCTGGGATACAGTCAGGTCTTGTGTGAGGTCATCAAGCTTAGTTGTTCAAAACAAAGAAAAGAATTAGTGTCGGAATGTGAGTTATTTAAAATAACTTAAGAGTTATTTTAAAAATCAAAACCACAATGAGATACCACCTTACTCCTGTAAGAATGGCCATAATCAAAAAACAGAAAAATAATATAAATGTTGGTGAGAATGTGGTGAAAAGGGAACATTTTTACTCTTGATAGGAATGTAAACTAGTACAACCACTATGAAAAACAGTGTGGAGATTACTTAAAGAATTAGAAGTAGACCTACTGTATGATCCACCAATCCCACTACTGAGTATCTACCCAGAGTAAAATAAGTCATTATATGAAAAAGATACTCGCACGTGCATGTTTACAGCAGCACAATTCACAACTGCAAAAATATGAAACCAGCCCAAACGCCCATCAATCAACAAGTGGATAAAAAAATTGTGGCATATACATACCATCAAACACTACTCAACCATAAAAAGGACCAAAATAGGCCAGACACAGTGTGCCTGCAATCCCAGCACTTCGGGAAGCTGAGGCGGGCGGATCACCTGAGGTCAGGAGTTCAAGACCAGCCTGGCCATGATGGTAAAACCCTGTCTCTACAAAAATACAAAAATTAGCCAGGCACGATGGCATGTGCCTGTAATCCCAGCTACTTGGGAGGCTGAGGAGGGAGAATCACTTGAATGTGGGAGAATTGCTTGAACCCGGGAGGCAAAGGTTGCTGTCAGCCTAAATCATGCCACTGCACTCCGGCCTGGGGGACAGAGCGAGACTTCGTCTCAAAAGAAAAAAAAAAGGAACAAAATAATGTTATTTGCAGTAACCTAGATGAAACTAACTGGAGGTCATTATTCTAAGTGAAGTAACTCAGGAATGGAAAGCTGAACATATTTTCTCATTTATAAGCAGCAGCTAAGTTATGAGGATGTAATGGCATAAGAATGATACAATGGACTTTGGGGTCTCTGGGGAAAGAGTGGGAGGAGGGTGAGGGATAAAAGGCTCCAAATCGGGCTCAGTGTATACTGATCAGGTGATGGGTGCATCAATATTTCACTAATTACCACTAAAGAACTTATTCACCAACCAAACACCACCTGTTCCCCTAAAACCTATGGAAATAAGAATTAAAAATTTAAAAAACTGTTGCTGTAATCAAAATATTACTTTATACTTCATAAACCACCTCATATTTAAACCTGTATTGAGAAGTGACTTGCCTAAAATCATAGCTAGTAAGTTAATAAAACCTTTTGAGTTCAATGTTTTACACTGACTACTCTCAAGTATTTCAAGTGAAAATTAAAAATAAAACTTAGACATTATTCCAATTTAATCTCAGAAACTAATGAAAAATTGTATTAAACCTCTTTACTTGAGCATAGTCCCAATGTGTACTCTGTTCACAGTAACACGCTATTAATTGCTAACTCTAAAACCATAATTTACCCATGTTAAATTCACTAAAATTCATTAAATGTATAATATCCTCATTTGAAAACTATCCCTTCCTATGTTTTCATATGATGGCAAAGAACATTAAGTTTATAACATCTAACTCAACATTGTGTGACACACTTTATTAACTTTATTAATACTGTACCACATGAAGCCAGATCACGAATCTTTTTGGACGCTGAAGTGAAACAGAAGGGCAGACAAGACAGTCCATGGAGTCTCAGACTCCCAGCCCTGGCTTCACAAAGTATTGGAAGAAATGACTAACTTTTATTTGTTTAAACTACTTATAAACTAGAAAGTTAACTTATTAGCCAAACTATACATACTCATTTGTATAAACAACTTATGATGATGGAGAAAGGAAATATTAATAGATATTTAAGCATAATGCAGGCTGATAAAACATTTCTTAAATAAGGAAAAAACCATGGGTGAAGATACAGGCTGCAGAATATAGAACATACAGCTGGGCAGGTCCCACTGACAGCTGAGGAAGCACAGAACCCAACCTTCCCAGCCCCACCTAGACTCATCGTTGTGGCGACAGCCACAGCCACACTCTTAGGCATCATCTATGGCTGTCTTCTCCATACAATGGCAAAGTGGAGTAATGATGGCCTGCAAAGCCTAAAATACTGGCCTTTTAGAGAGCAAGTGTGCCCATACCTGGGCTAGATAATAACACACAAGAGTGGGAACATCTTGTCGAGGTGGAACAGTTCCATCCTGACACACTATGAGAAGCTCTTATTTGTCTGTTCATCTGCCCTCCACAGATCCTCCCATTTTGTTATTCTTTGGATATGCAGAAATTTAAGTTATAAGCAAAATCCTTTTCAACAAATAAGTCCTTGCCCTTCCTCTTGGTCCAGACGTAGTCTTGCCATAAAATGATCTCATAAAGAAAATTATTAGAAAATCTTAATTACATTTCTTATGCATTCAATTCAAACCCAGTTTACACAAAAACTGAAAAGTCAGAAAGGCTTGAAGACAGATTGTAAAACAGACTCTAATACCTTGGAACTGTATTTTTTCCTCCCATCATTAAAGAGGGAAATCAGTGAGGTATTCCATTTTGTTTACAAAGTAATTGAATGCTGTATTACTATAAATGCTAAACTACAGACAAGAGTGAACTGAGGAAAAATCATGGATTGAAAAGAATCTTAATCTAGATAATTCAGTTATTGGAGTCATTAATTTAGTTTTGCTTTAAGGCAAAGAAAAAAACACTTAACAACCAGAAACTTCCAAGAAGAAGAGCTTCATTTAAAGTAGTTACCAAGAAAGAAAACTGAATGAACAAAAGCTAACTAGAAATAAATGGCTATTTAATAAAGGCTTTTGGATGGACATGGTGACTCAGGCCTGTAATCTCAGCACTTTGAGAGGCCAAGGCGGGGGGATCACATGAGGCCAGGAGTTTGAGACAAGCCTGGCTAACTTGGTAAAACCCCATCTGTACTAAAAATACAAAAATTAGCCAGGTGTGGTGGTACACGTCTGTAGTCCTAGCTACTCGAGAGGCTAAGGCAGGAGAACTGCCTGAACCCAGGAGGCAGAGGCTGCAGGGAGCCAAGATCCAGCCATTGCACCCCAGCCTGGGCAACAGAGCAAGACTCTGTCTAAAAAGAAAAAAAAAAAAAGAAAACAAATAAAGACTCTCATTCCTCATTAGTTTTAAAATTAGAATTCAAAGTGGCCATCTTAGTTCAAAACTGTAAAAAGAGATTCTATGTCACAAAATAAAAATATCTAAAAGGTACATTTTGAGCCTTGAAAAGGAAACCAAGGATCCCTGTGATAGCAAGCTTCATACAAATCAACATAAACTTTTTGTAAGATTCCGAAAAGCTTTATGAAGTGTAAATGTTCACATTTGCTGAATTAGATTGCTGTGCATTAACAGAAACCCAGGATGCACACTGATGTTCTGGTCCCTTAACACGTGGCCCTCTTCCTCCAACATCTACCTATGTCTTTGCTCGTGCTGGCTCCTGTGCAACTGCCCTCCCCAGGGCCTCTGCTCCTGGTTCATCCTCTGTCATTTCTGGTTCAAAGTCATCTTCTAACAACACTGCTCCTCCCAACAGTCTGTCTCTTCACACAGCACCCTCCAGTGGAGTCCCTGGAATCAGGGACATGCACTGACATGTCCCAGGATCACCCTTCTGTTCTCATGGCACTTACCATGCTCCTCCTCAGCCCTTGCAGAACCAAGTTAGAGACACCTTTCAAAATCCAGGTCAAATATTAGTTCCTGCTTCTGAGTTTTCATAGCCCATGAATGACTGGCCTTTTATGGCACTTGTCACTTTCTATCTTGATTTTCATGTTTGTATACATGGCTTTTCTCTCCCTGATCCTGCATAAATTTGAGGGGAGCAGTCTATATCTGTGCCTACGACAGAAATGTTTATTGTGACTACAATCAATAATGGCATTAGATACCATTTATTGAATGCCTACTCTGCTAAGCATATGCTTTACACACTTATCTCTAATATTTTCACAACCACCATCTCTCTTGCAAAACAGATGAGAGACCCAAGGCTCCAAAAGTTAAATAACTTGGCCAAATTTGTGAGTGGTATGTAGCAGCTCCAGGACTCAAATCCAGATGTGATGAACTTACAGAACCTGGAACATTCCACTGAGCTGTCTCCTTTCTCACACCCATATCCCCAGCCTTGTGCTTTATAAATAGTAGGTGCTTAATGGACACTGGTTTTGGTCACCCTAGCTAAAAGGTGACCAAATTCTCTGCTGTATTCTTACTGCAAAGAATACAAATGTTTTTGTGGTCCCCAGGTTCCCACTATCAATTCTCTGCATAGAAGCCATTAGAAAACACTTGCTGGTGAAGTACACTGACCACCAAAATCCATTCTATGTAAAAGGCTGCTAATAAATGGCACAATTATCTAAATTGAAGCTTTTAAGTGAAAATTCCTAAGAACATATGATGTCCCAAACCCAGTAAGTAGGACCCAGTGAGCCATCCAAGGCCCCCAATGGCAGAGCGATGCCTACACCTCCCCTTCAACCCACATCATTTCACAAATCCTAGCTTAACAGTCCTCTACCTCACATTTAAAGAATCCTTCTATAGTTTCTTTGGTATAACTTTATAGCAACATTTTTCAGGTCTCTTCAGGATGATGCAGGGTGAAAAGAAAAAGACAAATTTATAATTATAAAGTTATAACACATCAGGAATTAGAGAAATGCTTTACATATTCTCATTTAACCTTCAAGATAGTCCTATTACAGAGATACTAGTACTTCCACCATGTAAGTAAAGAAACTGAGGGTCAAAGGTTAAAGCTTAACTAAGAAAATATATGAAAGAATAAGAATGCAAACATGGATGTTGCTGACTTAGATTGTGTGGCTACACTGTAAACACTACCTCTCTCAAAGGCCTTCTCTCTGTGTGATGATCACAACACTTAGAGAATCCCACCTCATTCTGGAAAGCAAGTCCCCTCCCAGCCATGGCAACATCCAACCTGACTGTTAGACTTGCCTGAGCTGGGGACAGCTTGATGCAGATGCTGACAGACAACCCCGCAAGACTACAGTTCACCGTCTAAGGATCTTCTGTTCTCTGCTCACATAAAAAGGTCAAGTTTGGATCTCCAACATAGACTCTAACTTTATGGACTGCTGTCTTGTCTCCAGTGGTTTTCTAGCCCAGCCTGGCTTGCATGTTCAGATGTTACAACTGGCCAAGATGACCACACTCTCTGCACTCCAGGCTCAGCTTCATCCTGTGATCACAGTCCCCTATACTGGCTTTTACCTATGACACCAGGTGGCCAATTCTCACTAGGCCTGATCCACTGGGACCCCTCTTAATCCACAGCAATCCCAGTGCCCTAGGAATAATCCTCAGGCATTTCAGCAGCGAGACTGAGGTACCAAATGAAGTGACAACCAAAACCAATCTTACACATTCATCAAAGGCATTCTTCATAAACTCGAGCCAGGTCTCTGTCATGACTTTTCACAATTTGCAACTGTTTTTCTATTAATTAGTATAAATTTTTGAAGCTTTACAGTAAATCAACAAATAGGTTAAAAAAAAAAGGCACTGTATGGGAAATGCAGAATACTAAACCTTTTCACTGGTATTGATGTCATCTATTTCCACAGAAAGGTCTTCTTCAATCTCTTCACCAATACTTATCTCACTTTTCTCTGAGCGGTGGCTGGTACTAATTTTAGGAGGCAGGGAAAAAGTAAGAACTCTGAGAATAAACATTTCAAGAGATTAATTACCATTCTTTAAACATTCAGATATTTCTTTTAATCCTTTAAGTAAAAAATAATATTAACTATAATTAATTTCATATATATTGTCTCACTTGACCCTTAAAATAACATAGGAAGGGGCAGCAGCAGTCAAGTCAATGTAAAAGATGAGGAGATGAAGGTTTAAGTGGGGACTTTAGTGACAAGAACAAGAAAGAAACAAAGCCAGATTTTTACAATATCATCTACTACATCATTCTCTCTCTCAAAAACTGTATACTACATTATAAAAAATAAATACAGACTTCCAGTTGGAAAGATAACCTGTCAATTAAATAAAATTCTCAGGCATCTAATTTAAAATTTCAAATCACATCCACAACAAACATTACTTGTACATTACTAGCCAACACACATATACATATTATCTTTCTATATATAAGAAAGGCATTGACTGGGCACAGTGGCTCTCACCTGCAATCCCAGCACTTGGGGGGCCCAGGTGGGTGGATCACTTGAGGTCAGGAGTTCAAGACCAGCCTGGCAAATATGGTGAAACCCTGTCTCTACTAAAAATACAAAAATCAGCCAAGCGTAGTGGCACACACCTATAATCCCAGCTACATGGGATTCTGAGGCAAGAGAATCACTTGAACCCGGGAGGTGGTTGCAGTAAGCCGAGAATGCACCACTGCACTCCAGCCTAGGTGACAGAGTGAGACTCTCTCTTAAAGAAAAAAAAAGAATGGGAATCTCACTAGGTCAGTCCACATATCAGGAAATGTAATCTGAATCCAAAAACTAATTTGAGAGCATAATTATTTTAAGTCAAATGGAGACAATTCCCACCACAAAAAGGTATGGAAGGAAGAAAAAATAAGCACTTATGACATGACAACTGAACTCCTTGAGATCAGACTAAATGACTTCTCAGTTAATTTTTCAATGTTTCTTTTCATCTTATTCTTACCAAGTTTCCTGAACATAATGTGACTGACTATATTCTAATGTAAAATCAAAAACATGCTCCAAAGTCAAATATTTGATTTTGGATTAACTATCTTTTCTTCACCTCCAATCAGTACGAACAACAGAATCAAATACACCAAAATAAACACCAAGTGTAATTTTGTCTTGTCTGTGTTCGGAAATTGTTTACAAATATATATACATTTATATATTTGCCCAAAAGTTTTTCTTACCTGTTAAAATCATCAACATAGTCATCGTCTTCTCCAGTCCCTGATAAGTTTAACAAAACATATGTTATTATCTAACACACATCACGACTTATTTACAATTGAACACACATTTCCTTAAAAAAAGTTAATCATATTGCATCATTAAAAAATTTCCAAAGATCAGAAATAACATTTTTACCAGATATAATATGAAGGCAAATGATAACATGAAATATCTAAGAAATAATAAACTGTTACAAGTGACTATAAAATGTGGGTAACACCTCACCTTTATTCCAGGTACTCTAAGGCGATTAACACGGGACACACTTGTTAATAAGGTCCCTTGACTTAATGGCACATAGCAAGTCATCATGAACCCCCTCTAGGTACTAGAGGAACTACTGAGAGTTTCAACATGCGAATTGTTTTTTTACAAAAGTTAAAAAGGCTCATGAAGTGCGAGCAAGTAACAGCACCTTCAGTCAGACAGAGCTGGGCTCAGGCCTCGGACCTGCCACTAAACATCTCTGCGACCTGGGAACATGAGGTGCCCTTTCCTGGCCATGTCCTCTGCTCTGACAAATGGCCAAACGCACGCAAATCCGAGTTAACACAAGGATTCAGGTACATGATGTGTCTAACAGAGACTTTGGTCCACAGTAAGATCTTAATAAATGGCAACTCAATGAAGGAGCGATGACGATTAGTGAGGCAGTGTTACCAGTTGCTCAAAGTGTACCATGAACCTCTGACAGAGTGGGCACCTTCAGATCAACTTAAGGCTATAAATGACAAATTTGCAAATCAGCAGCCCTTCCCTCCCAGGACTCCTGAGGGCTGGATAAGGAAAAAGGGCTGTCAGTGTCCAAACAGACTTGGAGGCACATGAGAGTCGACTTAAAATGTGAATAGATGGCCTATGAAAGACAAGGATTATGTACCACCACATGCAGAAGATGCGGATCATGAAGAGAAGACCTGGCATGATAGAAAGCTGTTCAAAGGCTCTGAAATCTCCCTTAAATAAGGCTAGACTGTCCCTAAATCTGTCAGGCTGCTGAGGGGATTCAAGTTCTGTCCAGACAGACAAGGCAAATCCTGTGATTAATTTATAAAGCAGGTGAGTGATGACTAGGTCCCCTAGAGGTATAGCAATTACTAAGATGATATCTCTGATCTCAAGGAGCAAATGCTCTAGTGACACAAACTAAATACTGCTAGTGCAATTGGGAAGAACTCCAAGGTAGCAACTGAGAGGAAACCTAGGTTGCAGAGGTACAAATTATTGGGGACTGTGTGTTCCAAGAAGAGGAAACATGTGGAAAGCCCTGAGGTAGGGGAGGGTGTGGTGGTTTGCAAACCCACCAGTGCAGCCCAGAGCAGTGACACACATCTGTAATCCAGCTACTTGGGAGGTCAAGGCAGGAGGATCACTTGCACCCAAGAGTTTGAGACCAGCCTGGGCAACACTGTAAGACTCCCCTAAAATTAATTTTTTTATTTTTGTAATTTTTAAATTTTAAAAATACCATCTCAAAAATATAAATAAATCAAACCACCAGCAAGGACGACATACAACCATAAAACAATGAATTTGGGGGACTGAATGGGTGGAGAGAGAAAAAAGGAGTGGCCATCAGAGGAGCTGGCAGAAGCCAGATCATTAGGGCTTGGTTGGTGGCAATAAGAATCTTAGCCTGAATACAGAGGGAAGCTCATCTGGGGTGGGTTGGGGGAAGACAAGAGTGAAAAAGTCCAGGGAAGCACTATCTCATTTCTGTTTTCCCAGAGATAATCTCACCACCGCCAGAAATTGTTTACAGGAGGCAAGAATCAAAGTAGGGAAAGAAGGCTGTCAGAAAGTCCAGGCCAGCCATAACAGGGGTAAAGGGCTTGGGTCAAGGCAGGTGTCCTACAGATAAGACAGACAGGTGGATGATACTGGGTAGGGAGAATATCAGCAAATGAAGAAAACATGAATCCTTGTTACTGGTACACCCAAACCTTGCCCGTAATGAATCGGAAATCCCTGACCATAAGCAGTCAGGAGTCATTCCCAGGTTCCTCTCCTCTCGAGAATAAAGAGCCTGTCTCCACTGTAGCCTCATAGGTTAAAGGGCTGCACATGCTTGACAGAAAGCAGGCACTGTCAGGGCCGAGAAGGAGAGGTGGAAATCCGATTAAACAAACCACCACGTAGGTGGCTGGTTTGCAAGTGCTACATAAAACCAGCAGTGGCAGCTAGTGAAACGTCAGCCTCCAAGGACTTATCGTGGTGTTACTATGTGTGAACGCCAGTGAGGAGAGCAGACATGGAAACTGAGCTAAGACAGTAAGGACAGCTATGGCTGCAATGTGGATTTAGAGGAAGCTAACTGTATTCCCCACCTTCCAGCATTTGTAGCCAACAAAAAACACAAGATGTTTACTGTATAATGTGCTATAACACATTAGATTCTGACTTCTTACGTACTGTACAGTATTGCAATAGTTTAAGCCGGTGTCCAAACAATTAACAGAATATATATAGGTTGAGCATCCCAAATTCAAAAATTTGAAATCCAAACTTGAATGAAATCCAAAACTTCTTCAGTGCCAACATGATGCTCAAAGAAACTGTTCATTGGAACATTTTGGATTTTCAGATTTTTGGATTTGGGGTGCTCATCTGGTAAGAATAATGCAAACATTTCAAAATCCAAAAAAATCCGGACTCTGAAACACGACTGGTCCCAAGCATTTGCATCAAGGGATACTCAATCTGTACGACATTACTTTAAGGGTTGGCAAATTTTGGCCCTCAGGCCAAGGATTCTTGTTTTCTTCATTTTTTGACAGTCTCTCCTCCCCATCCCATACCCTCTGCCTTATCTGCCCTTACCCCAGTCAGCTTTGGCCCGGGCTTCCCAACAGCCTTATGCTTTCCTTACTTTCATTCTTGCCTCTGGCTGATGACCTGCTTTTGTTCAGCCTGTGAACTAAGAATGGCTTCTACATTTTTAAAGGTTGTTAAAAAAGCAAAGACTATGTGAGAGACAGTACATGTCATCCGCAAAGCCCAAAATATAGACTATTTAGCCCTTTACAGAAAAGGCTTATCAACTCTTGCTTCAAATATGCAAAGTACCTATTTATTTTATTTTTGAGACGAAGTCTTGCTCTGTCGCTCAGGCTGGAGTGCAGTGGCGTGATCTTCCCGAGTTCAAGTGACTCTCCTACCTCAGCCTCCCGGGTAGCCAGGATTACAGGCGTGTGCCACCACACCCTGCTAATTTTTTTTCTTTTTAGTAGACACGGGTGTCACTGTGTTAGCCAGGATGGTCTAGATCTCCTGACCTCATGATCCGCCTGCCTCGGCCTCCCAAAGTGCTGGGATTACAGACATGAGCCACCATGCCTGGCTGCAAAGTACCTATTTATAAACACTCCATTTAGGCACCTTTAATTAATATTTGTCTGCCAAACTAAAACAGACTGTGCTCTAAAGCTTTATTTGTAGATGATTTCTTTGGAACTCAATGTATTTTCCCATTGAAATGATTATTTAAATCCTGTCTAAGTAACATACAGACAGTAAAATACAGTGGTAAGGGCTCCGTGGTGATGCATCAGGACTCTAAAAGCAGCATGACCTTGGGCAAGTTATTTAACCTAGGTTCTTCAACTGTAGAACTGGAGATAATAATAAAACCCACCTCATAGGATATGAATTAAATAAAATAATTCCTTGGTACAGTGTCAGCCATTTATCACTAACATCATTATTATCCTAGGGTAGTCTACTAACATCTGTCTATATATTACTCAAAACACCTAGAGGACTGTATATTTAAAATGCAAAAAACCCAAACAGAAAACAACATTGCTGCAATACCAATTAAAAATTTGACAAAACAAAATAAAACTTTATTTCTACTGAATCCTAATGCCTAGCTAAATGACAAACATTCAGCTAATAAACTGGTAGTTCTCACCTGCGTAACTATCCAAATTCCAACCCGAAGTATAGCTAAGTCCCAAGAAAAAGTGAAGTGAAGGAGCACACCACCTTCCTGCCCATACCCAGCAACTCTGCAGCGAGAGCGATCACCTTCCCTCCTAAGAATGAGAATTCTCAGCAGCTTCCTCTCAGAAGCTGGTGGGAAAACCTTTACTTTGTTAAGAGAATAGAGCAGTCAGAGTGAAATGCTCAAAGGTTTGGCAACAAAGCGAAACACCACAAAAGTGAAAAAAAAACAGAACACGAAGGGGACAGTCAGCCATCACAGTGCAGAGGTTGGGAGTAAAGTCTCTGGTGGCAGTTAGCCACTGAGGTCAAGTGGAAAAGAACATCTAATGGCAACCAGAACTACTGCTGACAGGAAAAGCGCAAGGGAAGGAGAGGGGGCAGGCCCACCTAGCTGGCCAGCCAGCAACCAGGACACACAAAGAGCACAGGGTGGCATAAACAGCAAGTCAGCTGTTACCAGGACTCCAGGGCACTGTGTGGAACAAGAATCCAGGCCGCTCAGGCGACATTTATTCTTCTGCAAATGGGGGAACAAAGTAACATAAAAAGGAAACTAACATTTATTAGGCACCTACCATGCCAGGCACTGTACCTTAATTTACACATGAAAAGGTATTTAAATCCTATTTGCTCTTTGAAACTAGGCAGATGTTATTAGTTCCACTTAACAGATGAGGAAATAGCAGTTTAGTTTATCTCCCTATGCTACCCCATCAATCAGTGCCACATCTGAGACGTTACTTCTATCCAACTCCAAGCCCAAGTTCTTTGCACTATCCAGAATGTCTCTCGTGAAGAGAGAAGGGCATTCTCGGTGCTGCCCCTCAGACAGGCCTGAGTTCTAAAAGCACATGGGGACACAGCTTTCTTTTTTCCCCAACCTGCTTGGGTAGCTGTGTTCCAATGCTTCCATGTCTAAGTGACTACATACCAGGAAGCGATCCCACCACATCCACAGAGAGCATAGGAAGTGGCCACTGGAACCTGGCTACACCATTTCCTTCAGGTCAGTACCTGAATTTGCCAAAAATATGCCTGTCACGCTGCTACAGTCTTGCAACAGAATAGAGCACTGTTTGAGAACTGTGCTCTCAATGTATGGCCCAGGGCTTGGTAATGTTCACACTGACACTCTTACCTCCATAAGAACAAATGTACTTACATGGCAGTCTCACCAACTTCTGCTGCATTGAACAGAACTGAACACATCTCACAATTTTTCTTTCAATAAGTCTGTTTCTCCATTAGACTGAATTCTCTGAGGCCTGGACCATGTACTACCAGCATCTAGCAAATGGCTCTGCCTCTGCACAAGTTTTTCTCAGTCTGAAATTGAATAGAAATATCTTCTCTTCTCTCTTATACATCTACTTAACCATCAAGCCTCTGCACAGACATCACTTCCTCTAAGAGGTCTTCCCTGAATGCCAAGACTGGGCCAAGGTAACCTACTTGCCATTTCTATACCCATATATACTGACCCTTTTACACTCAAAATATCTGTAGATGCCTGTTTAATGTCCATATTCCTGACCAGAATTTAAACTCTATGAAGACAGAGGTTCACGAGGACATGATGGCTGCTGCTGGGGTCATCTCTGGCATAGGGTGTAATCCTGAACATATGAAAGCCACCCAAACACCTGCTGAATGAACAGCAGCAGGAAGGTGCTCAGTGGAGGCAGACTGAGTAACTTCTTTTACAACCTTACCTTAAAAATAATCACTTTAAAACAATCAACACAAAAAAACTGGAAATCTAGTTACCTAATCCAAGGGATCCAATTTTATCACTGATCAATTTCAGATCTTTCAAAACTATATTCCCCCTTTTACCTGTGAACAGGAGAAAATATTATTAGAGTGACTTTTAGAATACAACAGTCTCTAAACCATATTAATTTTTGTTGTTGTTCAATATGGCGCTTCTTTATGACAGGAGCATAATAACCTAAAACCAAGGAAAAAATAAACTATGATTAATGAATGCTTAAATTATGCATTATAACTCCTTTGAGACGGAATCTTGCTCTGTCACCCAGGCTGAAGTGCAATGGTGCGGTCTCAGCTCACTGCAACCTCTGCCTCCTGGATTCAAGCAATTCTCCCACCTCAGCCTCTCGAGTAGCTGGGATTACAGCCGTGTGTCACCACACCTTTTTTTTTGTATTTTTAGTAAATTTTTAGCTAATTTTTGTATTTTTAGTAAAGACTATGTTGGCCAGGCTGGTCTCAAACTGCTGACCTTGTGATCCATCCACCTTGGCCTCCCAAAGTGCTGGGATTACAAGCAAGAGCCACCATGCCTGGCCACAACCCTTTTTAAACCATAAACAATACTACTTTATTGGAATACAACCACCAAAAAAATGTTTTTCCCTAATTATAAGACATCACTTTCCATAAGAAGCCCCATTAGGTATGAATTCATAGACTACAGTTAATTATTTTCATCAATTTTATTTTCCCTTTGAACTTCTAAATTTTTCTTCAATTCAACTGCTATTTCATATACTAAAGTGACATCCTCACTGGTTAGTCCTTCATTCTTAAGGTCCTCTAAATCGTCATTCTCTAATCAGTGTCAGAATTGACATGTTCATGATGTCCTTCCTGTATTTCTTTCTTAAGGGTGACAGTAACCACGGAAAAGAAGCAAATGGGAAGGGATGCAGACTCTAGAAACACAGGGCTGGTTTACCAGATGTTTAAGAGAATCAACGGGCCAGCTCTCTTATGTACCCCAGAAAGTCCCACAGTATATCAAGTACTACAAAAAGATTGGGAAGTACTGGACAATTATGCAAAACTCATACTGCAAATTCTTAGTGACTCTACGTTAGGAAACTTTCTCAAAAGAGGTACACAAGTTCTGAAACACTGTGCTAAATAAATCCAACATATACCATCATATGGTTTACAAGGGACCTCTGCCCATCCAACGTGTTCAGGGCTATGCTTTTAAAATTCCTATCACTGTGTGTGGAGAGATGTGGGAAAGTAATTGGTACAGGAGCTAGACTATTCCATGTCTAACCAATGCTCTTTATCTCTGCTGCCTTTAAGCTGACACGTCAGATCATTCTGCTTGAAAATGATATGCAAAATAATTTTTTATTTAACATTTTATGATACTGTGGTATCACCGAACAAATTTTTTTAAAAATTAATTTAAAGTAAATCCAACTCAAGCCACTGTTAATGTCCAAAAAAGGAGAGATGATATAAAAATTATATTTATATAGACACTAAAAATCAGCTAAAAACTCAACTTCCCAAAAGTATTCCGATGGTATAGTGAAGGTATAGGAAGAAGCCGAACACAAAACAACATATAAAATATGACCACATTAAAAACAAAATACAACAAAGTATTAACAAGAAGTATCTCTGAGTGATAAAATTATAGGTTATTTTAGTGATTTTCCTGGAAAAAAATCAACACTAATCATACGGTGCTTCATTAGAGAAAAAATATCCTGAATAATCACACCCACATCTTTGGGCACTTACTCTCAGAGTCTTTTAAGGAAGGGGCCCCCGCCAGGGAGCTGAGTCCACTTTTTAAGGGGGGTGCATCCGACAGCGAGGCCAGGCTTCCTGCCTGCTTCCTTGGTTCATTCCTCCTAGCAGGAAACAAGTGACAGTTAAACAGTGCTCTGATGTTCTGCCACTAAACGCTTTTATTCTGCCATTAAAACAAAAGCAACTTAAATACATTTTATATGCACAGTTGCTGGAAATCAAGAATACACACTTTACAGATTCAAAACCATAAAGTATACCAAGGATATAGCAGGTATACCAAACTTTATGGTTTACCAAAAGTATACCAAACTACAGATCAACCACAATCAACACAGCCAGTGTGTAGGCAATCAGCTCACCTCTCTTTAGAATCCTCTTCACTGTGATTTTTTTCAAAAGCCCTTTTCCATCACCCAGACATGCAGCCAAGGGACAATACAGGAGTTTACTAGCAAATAAGTGCCACCTCTCAGATTAAATATCATTTACAGAAGCCACAAACCGCCATGCTGATGAAATCCCCTTAAAGTCATGACTACTAACCTCAAGAGGACCTTTAATTCTGCCCAATAACCCTGCGGGTTTCCACAGTCTCTTCTTGCCTTACTTTCTTATAGAATGATTTCACACTTTCTCCACTCTCCTCCAAACTCTAACCTCCATCCTGCATCCTCACTCAACTATGAAGTCAGATGAGAGCCTGCACAGGTGCTACCATCATATCCACCCCCTGCCTGCAACGGGACCCACACACTCTACTTTTCCAGCAAACACAAGCCCCTACATGGGATTCCATTGCTGCACAGCCCTCCATGAGTTCTTCTCTTACTCCCTTACATCATTAATTCTTCCACCTTTAAAGCTGAACAGCTCTCGTCAGCATACATGCTGTTATTTCTCCCACTTAAAGACGTTTTCAACCCTACATCCTGCCCCTCCAGCCACAACCCTGGTCCTCTGTATGCTTTTACAACTCATCAGAAAACTATTTGCCATCTACAATCCCTTCCTCTCTGTGTTGAAGGGACTCTAATTTTTTAACCTGCCTCGCACCTTCATTCCAACAAAACTAACTGTGTCAAGGTCATCATCGACCTCCAGATGGCTAAATCCAATGGCTTCATACAGCTACTCTTCCCTACTGCCTCCTCCAAAGACACCACTTTCCTGGTTCCGTGTCCTCTGGCCTCAAGGTGCACAGGACCTGCTTCCTTGGTGATCCTCTGCAGTCTCCCACACCCCACATTATCTACAAACTGATGACTCCTAATTTACATCTCCAGCCTAGATCTCTCCATCAATCCCAATTCATATGCCCAATAGCCTTCTTTGGATTTCCACCAGCAATCTTCTCTAACTCAGCACAGCGACAGGGCGTGCCAGGCTGTCATGCCACCTGTCTGTGCATCTGCTCTTGCTCTTTCCATTCTTTATCTAAAGTGTTTCCAACCTTCGAGTTATGCAGGCTAAAAACCATGGTGTCACTCTGGCTATTACTTTTTTCTCTAGCACTTACTGGCAAATCCTTTCCCATATAAACTCAAAATACTTCCAAAACCCACCTATTTCTCCCACTGCTTCTATCACTTCTCACCCGAATAATCATTAACGGCCTCCTACCTGGAAACCCCAAGTCCAACCTTGCCTAGCAACCTCAGGTTCTGTAATGTATGCTAGATCAAGATCCCCAGGGTTTCCAGTCTCAAAGGAAAGCCGTCCCGCCCCTCATCTCTGAGTCCACCTCATCCGATCCCGGTCTCGCTCTCTCTGCTACACCCACACTCACCTCCCTGCTGTCTGCTGTTTCCTCTCCCGGGAGCTCTATCAACCCATGGCAACTCCCTTAACTCCTCTAGCTCTTTGCTCACAGGGCACCTCCAAGTGAGGCCCCCTCCAATTTGGACAGCTGACACGCACCTGCCCTGACCACATACTTGGGCTCCCATCATTGCTCTGCTCTCGTCACCCCACACACCACAGCGTAACTCTCACTGCTTGTCTCACTCCATCACCAGAGCATGAGCTTCCTGAGGGCAGGCGTCTTCCCTCTTCCATCATTGCTACAGCCCACCCTGGAACAGTCCCTGGCATGTGGCAGACACTCAATCTAACAGGTAAGAATAAATCTAAGTTTTTATAAAACCTGAGATTGTTTTATAACATGAAAGGCATTAACAACACATAATCAGATTTATGGATCCAATAATTATAAACCACCCATAGTTCATTATTTTTTAACTATAAAATGAAAGCATTTATCTTACTTTTAAACCCCTAGTCTCATAGTTCAAAAACCATTTACTCACAAACCATAAGTTTTCTCTGGCTTAGGAATGGGATCATCAAAGAAAGAATCTCCTTCCATATCATCTTCATCTGGACAAAGGCCGGCTTTGTCTTTGCCATCTAAAGTTTTGTTGCTTAGAAAAGATCCAATTTTTGTTTCATGGGACAGTAAGTGAAGGCTGCTTTTGCTCTTTGGTTCTGACAAGGAGACACTTGTATCACTCTGACTGGCCTCACTGTTGGTCTTCTAGAAAGAGAGGGAAAGAGAAAAGGTCTCCTTGATATTTTAAATAATAAAAGAAGTCTCGTGAGCATAAGCAAACTTGTGTTTGTGGGTGGCGGGGTAGGAAGGGTGAAGGGCAGCTCCCAGCAGCATGAACTGCAGAGCAATGCCACAATTCATCACTCCAGCCCCAGGATTCCTAGCATGGCAAACTTTCAAAGGGGGAAAAATTTTTTTTTAATATATTAATACCATTCCTGTCCTCTTTCCCTAAATGTTAATACCTTTAATATACCCCTCCCATTTATAAACACTTTCCCTTTTATAAACAATTTCCCATCTTCCCCTCTATGTATCATTGCTTCATAAATTTTCTTAAATTAATACAGTTTCAACTTGAAAACAACTATTAAAGAGAAAAGAAAGATTATTTCACATGAATGAACCACGCGTTAAAGTAGTCATCAGTAAAAACAGCAATTTTCCATCCCGTGCTAAACACAACAGACATCAAGGTGAAAGACGCTGTCTTCAACCACTTGTGTTTCTAACATAAACATTTGCTAATGAAAATAATTATTTTAATTCTGACTTCCAGGGTAACTTCCTAACCTATACCTCATTTTGATGTCCATGGACAGGGGGTGGGGGGTGTGTGTGTGTGTAGTTCTCTGTGTATTTTAACACCAATGTTGTAAAAAATTCTGAATCATCCTTATCCATGCCCTTGGATATATAGTGATGTTAGCACAAAATATCACACTTTTATTTTCTTGTTTTCAGTTAGTCCTAAACTTCACAGCCTACTTTTACTCCATTCTTGGTCAGATTTCTTTCTGCCCTTAGGTATATATTAACAATAATAATGAAAACAAAAAATAATGCTAGTAATAATAAAAGCAGCTAACATTTATCGAGAACATTCAAATGTTTCACCTTATTTCATTTAATCTTCAAAATGACCCTATGATCTGGAAGTAGCTTTATCTCTGTGGATATAAATAAGGAAACACAGAGACAGACATTTATGTCACTTGTCAAAGTCTCCAGGTATTAAGTGGTAGGGTCAATATCAAAGTCAAAGCCTGATTCCAGAGGTTAACTCTATACTTATGCTATTAGGCTAAATTATAATTGATTTGTGGGCTTTATGGGTTAAAGATGGCAATTTCCCAAAATTAAAGCCTTCTGTACTAGAGAGCAATATTGTGTAAAAATACCTGTGGAGTACCAGAAAAAGCATTCAACTCAAACAAGGAATCTGGAATGTAGTTCAAAATTATTAATTGCACTTTTTTTTTTCTTTTTTATCTTTTTTTTCTTTTTTAAGAAACAGGGTCTCAATATGTCATCGAGGCTGGTCTTAAAACTCCTGGGCTCAAGCAATCCTCCTGATTCAGTCTCCTAAGTAGCTGGGATTACAGGCACAAACCAAACCCAGTTGTATAACTTTTTTTTTTTTTTTTTTTTTGATGGAGTCTCGCTCTGTCGCCCAGGCTGGAGTACAGTGGTGTGATCTCGGCTCATGACAACCCCTGCCTCCTGGGTTTAAGTGATTCTCCTCCTCAGCCTCCCAAGTAGCTGGGATTACAGGCACATGCCACCATGCCCAGCTAATTTTTGTATGTTTAGTAGAAATGGAGTTTCACCATGTTGGCCAGGCTGGTCTCTGAACTCCTGACCTCAAGCAATCCACCCACCTTGGCCTCCCAAAGTGCTGGGATTACAGACATAAGCCACCATGCCCAGCCCATATAATCTTAAGTAAATTAATTTCCTAGGCATGAGTTTCCTCAAGAATTGAACTAGTTTCGTTTTCTTCAGATCAAATTATATCTAGGAGTTAAGACAGTGGGGATGGATGGCAAAGAATAGTAACTACTGAAGCATGGTGACCAAAGTCTGGGTTAGACATTACCAAATAAGATGCTCTTGAAGGATGGTTTCACTTTTAATATGTGTACAGGCAGGGCAAGGTGGCTCACGCCTATAATCCCAGCACTTTGGGAGGCTGAGGCGGGCAGATCACAAAATCAGGAGTTTGAGAGCAGCCTGGCCAACATAGTGAAACCCCATCTCTACTAAAAATACAAAAATTAGCTGGGTATGGTGGTGGATGCCTGTAATCCCAGCTACTTGGGAGTCTGAGGCAAGAGAATCACTTGAACCTGGAGGCAGAGGTTGCAGTGAGCCGAGATCATGCCATTGCACCAGAGTCTGGGCGACAGTGCGAGACTCCATCTCAAAAAAAAAAACAAACATAGAATGCATTATGCATGTCTTATATGTTTGTTTACATTTTTATACCAGGTAGAGGCCTTGACTAGTTGACAGTAGGCAAGATATATGCGATACAAATTTTATTGCCTTCTAGGGAGCTATACATTCTATGTTATTAATATAAATTAATGATTACAAAGAGATGTCTGAAAAAATAAATGCCAAGTTCTAATTTCAGACAGCATATTTTCCAAGAGGCAGAAAAATAAAAATTTCCTAACAACTTTGTCGATGTTTTCCTGGTATTATCAAATATACAAAAGTATTACGTACTTTTGTATTTCTTAATTAGATTCACACCAGTTGTAATTTCTGATTTTTAAATGTTTTAATAATGGATTTATATCTTTTTAAATGAATATGCATTTGGAAATAAATACTCTGATGTGATATTTAAACACATTTACAATTACAGAGGCTGTGGTCATGGCAGATTCTCTCCAGATTCTAAACACTCACAAGAAAGTGCCAAAGAGTAACTGTCATGAAAGAAACTGAAAAATGTAAATGTAAAGCAACATTATGAGAAACAATCATTATTCTAATAAAGTCTTCCTTTCCCGAGAATTCACATAGCCAACATAACTTAAATCTGAGCAACTAATATGTATCCATGACTGTTTTTTGACAGGTTTTAACAATATTCCTGCTATGGACAGAAAGACCAGTTTTAGGAACACAAGTTTTATGAAGAAGGGCATTATTATATTACACATCACATACTTGTAAGCATAACAGAATTATTTTGTTTTAAAAATATAGTTCTCTTAATCCATGGAGGAAAAATAAATTATGAAACAATCTGCTTTAGAACTGCTCTCAAAATCAACTTCTAAACCACACAGGAACGTGTTGCTACTTTATAACTATGGCTCATTTTTGCCAAAAGACCATGACCCAACTAGGTTATTAATGAATTCACTAAACTTAATTCCAAATAAACTTCACTATTAAAAAAATCTACACTAGGAGGAGAAACATTTCTGCAGATTAAAGCAAAAGTACTGAAAGCTTTCAGAGCAGTTTCAATAGTTCCTCCATGTATACACGCAGATGAATGCATGTATACAGACGCTCAGCTCACAACAGCACTTCACCTGGTAAACCCACCATCAAGTGAAAATATCACAAAGTTGAAAATGGGCACTTTGTATACATGATGAAGTACAACATGATAAAACCCCATCTCTACTAAACACAATATCCAAAAAATGCTGGCTACTCAGGCCCCTGGTATCAGAGTGCCTTGTAACCATGTGGCTGCCTGGGAGCTGTGGCTCGAGGTCACTGCCTGGCCCCGCGAGAGAATGGTACCACAGATTACTGTCCTAAGAAAACATCAAAACTCAAAGTATGGTATCTACTGAATGTAGATCCCTTTTGTACCATCATAAAGTCGAAAAAGCATAAATCAAACTGTTGTAACTTTGGGGACCATCCATATATGTGTGTACACCCAGGAATCTGCTTTAAAAACCCTTATCACGGCTTAAGATGAACTTATGTTACATATATAAACTTCAGTTACCTGGATTTTGTATCACCTGGATTTGGCTAAGTTGAAGTCAAGATTCAAAATGAAGGTAAATAATTAAGGTTAAGTATCGTTTAAAACTAAGAAGTATGATTTAAAAATAAAAGGCCAGGTGTGGTGGCTCATGCCTGTAATCCCAGCACTTTGGGAGGCTGAGGTGGGCAGATTACAAAGTCAAGAAATCAAGACCAACCTGGCCAACATGATAAAACCCCATCTCTACTAAAAATACAAAAAGAATTAGCTGGTAGTGGTGGTGCACACCTGTAGTTCCAGCTACTCAGGAGGCTGAGGCAGGAGAATCGCTTGAACCAGGGAGGCGGAGGCTGCAGTGAGCCGCACTCCAGCCTGGAGAGAGAGCGAGACTCCATCTCAAAATAAATAAATAAAGATATACACTGGCTAGGTGGGGTGGCTCATGCCTGTAATACCAACACTTTGGGAGGCCCAGATGGGTGGATCATGAGGTCAGGAGATCAAGACCATCCCAGCCAACATAGTGAAACCCCATCTCTACTAAAAATACAAAAATTAGCTGGGCATGGTGGCTCATGCCTGTAATCCCAGCTACTCAAGAGGCTGAGACAGGAGAATCCCCTGAACCTGGGAGTCGGAGGTTGCAGTGAACCAAGATCACACCACTGCACTCTAGCCTGGCAACAGAGCGAAACCCAATCTCAAAAAATACACACACACACACACACACACACACACACACCCACCCATGGCAATGCCTTAGAATTCATTCTCTGGACAAGCACAGAAGTTATGGGTTAAATTGTATCCCGCAAATGAAATATGTTGAAGCCCCTAATTCCCAGGACTTCACAGTGCGACCTTATTTGGAAACAGTATCACTGCAGACATACCTAGTTAAGACCAGCCCATTCAGGAGTAGGATGGGCCCGGATGCTAACCCAATGACTGCTATCGTTGTTGCGGGAAGAGACACAGAGAAACACAGGGAGAAGCTCATGTGAAGATGGGAGGCAAAGACTGGAGTAATCCATCTCCTAGCCAAACAGCATCTGGCATTTCCAGCAGCCACCAGAAGCTAGAAAAGGAGCCGCAGTCCTGCTGGCACCTTGATTTCACATTTTTAAGCCTCTGGAACTGTGACGATACATGTGTTGTTTTAAGCATGTTGGTACTTATATTACACCAGCCCTAAGAAACGAATCAAGTTATTTATAACAAAAAACTAAAACAAGTTTTGCCTTTTCATAAAAGTGAGGGTCGTATTGCACAGCACCACAACGGTCATTAGGCTCTCTCGGCTGGAGCTCGAGACTAATAATAAACTCTATGGTAAATTACAGTACAGCTATAAGAAAGCTTTAGTATATATTTAATTATCCAATAATACACTCATACTCAAGAAGCCAATCATCTACAGATTAACAAAACATTAGCACTAGAAAAGTTTCACAGCAAAAAACCTTATTATGTCACCACTGGTAAGAACCTGAAAAAAAAAAAAAGAACTTTTTCCAAACTGTTCACAGTAGGAGAAAAATCAACATCAAAGAAATACTATGGTTTTGCAAAAGTATTCAAAAAATTCATGCAATACAGTTGCCCCTCAGTACCCAGGACCCCTGCACACACCAAAGTCTGAGGATACTCAAGTCCCTGATATAAAATGCTGTAGTATTTGCACATAGCCTACACACATCCTCCCATATGCTTTAAATCATCTCTAGATTACCTGTAATACCTAATACAATGTAATTCTATGTAAATAGTTGTATACCATATTTTGAAATTTATATATTTTTAACCATTTTCCATCTGGAGATGGTTGAATCTGCAGCTGTGAAACCAATGTTTATGAAACCTGCCGATATGAGGACTGACTGTATTTCTCTTCCCCACCCATGCCTCTGCCCCCACCTCCTTCCCTACCAAAGACAGTTTCTGATCCATGACTAATGAATTTAGAGAAGTAATTTTATTACAGTTCTAACAGACATATATTTTGAAAGTCTAATTTGCTCACCAGGAAGAGTAAATACTGTCGAATTCCAGAACCACAAGAAAAACCTTTCTAAAAACTCAACTCTTTCTAGGGAAACTCTATCTCTTCCACCTATAAGCAATCTGTAATTCCTACAGATCACAATAGAACCTTCATCTTCTAGCTTTATGAGTAAGACTGAAAGAGGACCCTGTAAATAGATTTTCTACTCTACATCCTCAGCCTTCCCACCCTACCCAACCAGCACCTCATGGAGTTCAGCGAACAAGTGGTGCCAAGATGTCAAGGCTAGAATCCCAGATGGCTAGGATCATGGAGCTCAGCAGGCAGAAACGGAAGGGCTAAGTGCTGAAACATTCATGCAACCATGTATCCATTCATTCAGGTCGGTGTGTGAGTGTGACAGGGAATGTTAACGCCTGGTTTGGAAAATCTTGAGGTGACTGCCAAAGATACAAAAACATATGCCCCAAAACCCACAAGCAATGTGAAAAAGTATCTCAATGCATATTAGTTTTAAAACACCTGAAAACTGGGCTAGGCATGGTGGCTCGTGCCTGTAATTCTAGTACTTCAGGAGGCTGGGGCAGGAGGATCACTTGAGCCCAGCAGTTGAGGATCAGAATGAGCAACATAGCAAGACCCCCACCTCCACAAAAAAACATTTTTTAAAAAATTAGGTATATGTGGTAGCATGCACCTATTGTCCTCGCTACTCAAGAGGCTGAGGTGGACACTTGACCCCAGGAGGACAAGACTGTGGTGGGCCATGATCGCACCACTACACTCCAGCCTAGGCAACAGAGTGAGACCTTGTCTCTAAAAAGACACCTGAAAGCCACCTGAGAAAGGATGATCTTTCATACTACAGTTAATGTAATGATAAAGAACACCTAATTCTAAATACTAAAAACAAAAAAAGAATGTACTCTTAGTCAACCTTTCCAACTAAACGGTAAAAAGCTAAGCTTGTAGGGTCTAACCAAAATCTATTATATTACATTTATTTGTTTTTTCAAACAATTAGAATGTTTGGTACAACAAAATGGTATGAAATGAAATAAATTATCACATATAATACTTTGGAAGTCAGCAAGTGTTAACATGTACTTCAAAATTATTAAATCAATTTTAAAATGCCCTCCCACTTCATATTTATACTTCTTCTATATCAAACCTTTTGTCTTTAATCTTTACCTTTATTGTCTCTCAGGAACAACAAAAATAAGAACTTCAGTTTTGCCCAAGTTACATCAGTTCAAAAACCTTACAAATCAATTCTAACTATGTAGATGAATGATTTTAAGTTTATTCTTAATATGAAAATAGCTTCCCTGAAGAAAGTGCCAAGGTCTCTGAATGAGCCACTAGTACTTTTCCCCTCCTGCATTCAAAAGCAACTGGACACATGCAACACTCCTGATCAGTGCTCCAGAGCTCCAGGACCAGCAGTAACCTGGGCCCTCCTGCATTGCATGCCCAGTTCACGTCTGCAGGGCACGCGGGGCTCCCACAATGGCTTTGCACACCTTAGGAGATGCCACTCACCTACCATGTATGTGGATGGCTCGCTCTGGAGTTTTGCTGTGTACAACCTCAACCACCACATGCAACATAGCATCTGGATGATGAAGATGTTTAGAATGTTAAGGCTGCTGGGAACTTAATACATGCACAAGGCAAAGCAGAAAGGCAGAGGAACAAAGAGCTAAGGGCTTACCCATATAAGGAAGGCTGGCAACAGGCCACCAGGGTACAATACAGACTTCTCACAAGGCAATTCAGAAACAACATCAGAAATGTACAGGGAAAAACCTTTCCACGTAATTGAGCAAGGAACTTGGGCTTAGGAACACAACAATGAAATAGAAGAGGCCCAAATCACGGACTAAATTCTGGAATATGGGCCCATCTAGGTTCTTCAATCCCCAGTCAAATCAGGGAGTACACTATGCTCTGCCCAAAGTACAGAGAAACCTCAAGTCTGGGCCTGCCACAGTTATATCACATCATACAAAGTGAAAACCACATCTCTTAGTATGCTTGGTTCTAGTATAAACTTCTTGAAAATGTTTAAGTTGTTAAACCCACAATAGCAATAAGATTACAAAAGCTTAATACTATAAAATATGCTTTAAATTTTTAGAAAAGTCCAAGAAACTGATTTTTAAAATCTATTAAGAAGTTTTATATTCTTAATTATCTTACTTAAGGTATGTCTCATCTCTTCAATTAACTGTAAACTCCTTAAGTGAGAACTGTATTAAATGTGTTCCCCAAAGCATTAACACACATGACTTTCAGTATATAAATGTTAAAAACAAAACTTACAAAATCATTATTTTAAAGCATCTTGTTTAATAACGCATAAAGAACAGTATGAACAAAAAGAGAATAACAGGAATTTACCTTTGAAAACTACTAGAACTAAAGCCAGCTAACACATCAGGTTGAATTTTGAAAAAGCTTTAATTTTAAAGATTTTCAACTAACTAAAAAAAAAAATCTATGCATAACCAAGGTTCAACTTAGGACTAATAAATCTCACAGAACTGGCAATTAAATATTTTATCCTAAATAGATGTAAAAGCTGTACTGATAATGTTTCTAAAGCTTCTAATATTTAAATTTCATAAGCAGCTAATCTATCGGATTAGTAAATGTTTGTGATCTTTAGGGGAGGAAGAAAAAGCAGCCAAGGCCTTGATAGTATGCAGCACTGGCCCCCAGCAGTCTACTGTGAGCAGGGGCCCTGAGTAAAGGTTCATACATGGGTAATTGTCTGCAAAATGACAGAACGCAAAAATGTTCTGGACGAAGTAAGTTTAATTTTTAATTTATCGATGGGAACTTATCCAAAAAGTAGTCTGATGTTCTATTTTCCTCAGATAAAGATCATGTTAATAATATGTATATAATCATCCATTCAAAAGAAAAATACGTATTTTCAACTCTTTTTTAACTGCCAACAAAACAGGAATTTTCAAATTTCAGCTAAAACTGAGAGCATGAGTTAATTTTGACATAAAACTGAAAGCATGGTTTTAAGATTCAACAGTATAATTTTCACCTGGATAAAAACTGACAGTGAAATTTACTTTTTGTTTCATGTCATCATTACTTTTTTGTTTTTTTTAGACAGAGTCTCAGTCTGTCACCTAGGCTGGAGTACAATGGCACAATTTCAGCTCACTTCAACCTCCACCTCCTGGGTTAAAGCAATTCTCCTGCCTCAGCCTCCCAAGCAGCTGGGATTACAGGCGCGCACCACCACGGCCAGCTAATTTTTGTATTTTAGTAGAGGCAGGGTTTCACCATGTTGGCCAGGCTGGTCTCAAATTCCTGGCCTCAAGTGATCCACCCGCCTCGGCCTCCCAAAGCGCTGGGATTACAGGCGTGAGCCACCATGCCTGGCCTCCAGTGACATTTCATAAGAAAACTGAGAACCCAACCTGACCAGAGCCCAGTGTTCCAGGAGGCCCCAGAGTCGAGGCCTGCTGCCCATAGGCTGCTTTTGTCCTCTGCCCTCATGCATGTTACCTTGTCACCAGCCTTCTGCCCGCTTGTCTTCTTCTTACCTTGTCCTTTATACCTTGGTATCTGAGCATGAGAATAAAATGACATTTTACCACAAAATAGAAATCTTTAAAAATAAACTAACTCATTATTAAACAAAGATGCTTACTGAAAAATGTCTTAGAAGTGGGACATCTAGTTAACAGGTTCTGTGAGGCCTACTTTCTTTGGTCCTTTCTTAACTGTGTTCCTAAAGTGGTCTACCCCATGCTTAACTACTGTTTCCAATAGTTACTAGGACAAACACAGATACTGTAGCCTTCACCTGCTCAGCTTCTACTGCCTGAAAAATCATCTCATTCCTGCTACCGTTTAGCAGCATTCTAAATAAGTCTCACTTGAGTTCCTAGGCAACTTCCTTGATGACTTGTCCTGACCTCATCTGACCCTTCTCAGGAGCACACAAAGCTGGTTCCTAAAGGTTGGGTGGACCCCACTCTTAGAGAGTTCCTAGCATTGTCAGATGCCACTAGAAGAGCCAGCAGGAAGAGAGTAGGGAAAGTACTGGATTCCAAATCCACGTCCTTTACTACTAGAGAAATTGCATTTTAAGTGCCAAAATAAGGGTTTATCTTAGAACAAATGCAACCCTAAACAAGAACTATCTAGGGTATTTCTGAAGCGGGTTTATGAGGCCAACTGAGAAATGGGGACTGAACTAGAATAAAGGGATGGCGGCAGGAGAAGCAGAGACAGCTGTAAGGACAGACGCTGTTCTCTAAAGCAGCTTTGGGACAGTCCCCGCTTCTCTGGAAAAACTCACAGTATCATTTCCTGACTGACTTAAAACATTGAGATTATCACTATAATTCTGAGATCTTAAATGTATGTAGAGAGAATAAGAGTACGTAAAATGGACTTTAATACTTTATCCTGAAGACATACCTTATATGTAGAAGGTTAAGATTGCTAATTTGCTTTAAAAACAACAATAATTTGCTAAAAAGAGCTTCCAAATAGTTAAATGCTATAGGTACTGATAAGTATTTTGGAATATTCATTAATTTTAATTTTTCTAAAGCCAGATATTTTCATGAAAAGTAAAGCTTTCTTACATAGGCTATTTTATCTGCAATTAATTTAAAGAAATTTTAAAAATTTACTCATGACCTTATTCTGCCATTGGGGTTATAGCCTCCTATAAGCATTAAAGAAAAAAAAAATTTTTTTAAAAAGGCCTTCCCTACACCAACTAGAAATCTCAGAAGGAATAATGATAAACAATACAATAGTTGTTTCCTTGGTTAGAAATAAAGTCTAAAATTCCTTTAGTTTTCCAAACTTAAACAAAAAGTAGCAACAACGTCCAAGAACAAGAAATAAATAACAGCAATTGTTGAGCAATGTTCTGTGCCTAGCCACTGAAAACAGAAAGAAATCTTGTAGTACAATCACTATGTTCTGGAAGTTCATCTATTTAAAAAGATGCAACTATATCTGAGAGTCAATCCACCACCATGAACCCAAACAGGAACTCAACTTTTGGAATGGACTCCACAACATCACTCTATTCCTATGGGACAAAAATCAAAGGGACAGTCAAATAATACAAACCTGACCAGTCACAGACGGCAGGTTTGCGTCCCCCCCGGTCCTATGTTGAAATCCTAACCCTCAGTGTGATGATATCAGAAGAGGGAGGCTTTGAAGGGTCAGCAGATCATGAGGGTGAAGCCTTTGTGAATGTGATTAAGGCTCTGACCCCAGAGAGCTCCCTCACCCTCTTTCTACCATATGACAACACAAACGAGGAGACAGCTCTCTGCAACCTACAAGAGGGACCTCACCAGAACCTGACCACGGTGATGCCATGATCTTGGACTTTCAGACTCCAGAACTGAGGAAAAAATGTGTTGTTTGTAAGCTGCCCAATCTATGGTACTTTGTTATGGCAGCCTGAACAGACTAAGAGAGACCCAAACCTATCCTTTGATAAGACCGTCTGAGACTACCAATTGATGCTATACTCTAACCAGTCACCTGAGAAAACAAATTTCCTGACAATCATCTTTCTATCCATTCCTACACATCCTTAATCTTAAATTCAAAGTGTACAGCTCATTTTTTTTCCCTTATGCTTAATCTCCGAAATCAAGTCTTACCTTTAACAATTCATAAACACATACAAAGACACACGCATGCATACACACACAAATGTAACCAGAGTACATACATTTTCTTAGAAATTCTATCAAAACAGCTCAGGTATATTAAAAACCATCACGATTTACAATTATAAATCTGATCACCCATCCAAAAGTAAAATATATAAAATGATATATAAAGTAAAATATATAAAATATATAAAATTTATAAAATGATATAAAATAATCAATATATCCTACAATACATATTTCTAGCTTAATATTCTTAAGCTAGGAATTTATAAATCAAAAGTAAATCTCCTTGTCAACAGGAGAAAAAAATGTCCAAAGTACCAAATGAATCCAAATATTCTATGATTCTGTTACTCAACAGCACATTCCTTTCTACAATACAAATGTCCAACTACTACCAACAAAGCAGCATGTTTTTTTAATGTATACTTAATGGGAAAAAGCACCTTCAAGAAACTAAAGAGCCTATGTGTTATAAAACAACATAACTTGTAACAAGAAAGACTACAGAGAGAAAAGCAGAGCCCTCTGGAGTTGAGTCCAGGCATGACTGTGTCCGTAGCTAACTCACCTTACTTGGTGTTGTCTGTGCACTTGTTTTTCCTTCTGGTGACTTTGGTGGAGAATGCACATCAGATAGATCTAGTGTACCCTAAAACATTTGAGTTTAAAATTAAAATATATTTAAAAATAAAATACAAATATACCAATTACACTTCAATAGCATTTTAGCATTTCAAAACACTATACAATGTTGGTATTTTGTTTTTTCCTAATGTAACCATCCTTTTAAGATCTTCCTCTAATTTTATCCCCTCAAAAACCTTCAACACATCCCTAGATTCTAATTACCTGCAAAATATTTCATTCATTCACGTTGAACAGGCTGCTGTCTGCACTGAAATCTGTTCCCAGCCTACCATGCCAACATTTACTTCCTCAATCCCCTTCTCCCTTCACTCCAAATATTATCCTATATTTCTCTAAGATCTACTTTTTGTGCTCCTTGAATTTGCTTCCCTACTTCATTTTATCTCAAGAAAAAACACCAAATAACAACTTTCATTAAAAATACTTTACCCCCTTTCAAATACTAGTCACTTTTCCAGTTTTCTACTTCCACACATTTTTTTTTCCATTTTGAAAGCACCTGTTCTAGCCCAGCATCCACAGGAGTTATCTGCGTCTGCTGCCCAATGCCCTGTCCCCACAGGGTTCTGACCACTGTGGTAAACTCAAAAGAGGAAATTTTAAAAATGCTTCTTGGATGAAAATCACTTCCTACAATTTATGCACTACCAACACAAGCTCTATGACACTATGTACATATTAAAGATTGGCTGTTACAAAAATCCTTTAACAACTATACCTTTTTAAGTATGAAAATGTGCTGCTCTTTATAACTTTAGTTCTCCCTCTACAGTCCCACTATTTCTGGTGGTGACAGTATCTTCTAGGCTAAAATCCTTAAACTCACCTTTGAGAGCTTTTCTTTTATCATATTGCCTTCTATAACCCTGCCCCATGCCAAAATATTAATTTACTAAGTCTTGTTGATTCTTAAAAGGTCAACTTTATCTGTTCATTTCTTTGAGACAGGGTCTCACTCTTGTCACTCAGGCTGGAGTGCAGTGCTGTGATCTCGGCTCACTGCAACCTCTGCCTCCCAGGTTCAAGTGATCCTCCCACCTCAGCCTTCCAAGTAGCTGAGATTACAGGAATATACCACCACACCCAACTAATTTCTGTTTGTTTGTTTATTTTGAGACAGAGTTTTGCTCTTGGTGCCCAGGCTGGAGTACAATGGAGAGATCTCGGCTCACTGCAACCTCCAACTCACGGGTTCAGGTGATTCTCTCACCTCAGCCTCCCGAGTACCTGGGGATTACAGGTGCCCACCACCATGCCCAGCTAATTTCTTGTTTAGTTTTTTTTTGAAACAGAGTCTCACTCCATTGCCCAGGCTGGAATGCAGCTATGCAATCTCAGCTCATCACAACCTTCACCTCCCGGTTCAAGCGATTCTCCTGCCTCAGCCTCCCAAGTAGCTGGGCCTATAGGTGCACACCATCACACTCTGGTAATTTTTTTATTTTTTAGTAGAAGCAGGGTTTCACTATGTTGGTCAGGCTGGTCTTGAACTCCTGACTTTGTGATCTGCCCACCTCGGCCTCCCAAAGTGCTGGGATTACAGGTGTGACCCACCACACCCGGCCAATTTTTTTGTATTTTTAGTAGAGATGGGGTTTCACCAGTTGGCCAGGCTGGTCTCGAACTCCTGACTTCAGGTGATCCACTGACCACAGCCTCACACCCTTACCAGCGTGAGCCACTGCGCCAGACCTTAATTCATATATTTCTAATAGAGACAGGGTTTTGCCATGTTGGCCAGGCTGGTCTCAAACTCCTGGCCTCAAGAGATCTGCCCGTCTCGGCCTCCCAAAGTGCTGAGCTAACAGGCGTGAGACACCATGCCCAGCCTATATGTCCACTTATTTCTATTATTACTGCTACATTCTTATCTAGATTTGCCTTCTTATGGGTTTTACTTCCTTCTAATCTGCTAACTTCTCCATATTTCACCCACCTAACCTTCACAAATCTTCCAAATGGGTACTCCTGTTTGAATCTTCAAAGGCTTCCCATTGACTATGACAGCATGTTAAAAATCACTAGGCCTTAGACTGTGTAGGAGATACGTAAGATAAAGCTCTTGTCCTCAATATATTTATGATCTAGTAATAGGGCAGAGACACATGCTGATCATTACTACAACTTGACAGAATGAGGCACTAAATTACATGCAGTCTCTAGTAAAGAGAGAGGAAGAACAAGAGTTGCAGCTGAGGAGAAAACCTGAATGACAAAATTCCAAAGCTGAGGAAGAGGAAAGAGGTCTAATTTCAGGTGAAGAATAGAATTTAAAAAAAAAGAAGGCGGCAAAAAAGCACAAGCCAATTTCAAGGAGTAAGTCCAAAGTTTAATCTGGCTTAAGTACAAGGCTCCACATTTCAAAAAAAAGCCTAAGGCTAGAAAGACAGATTAAGGCCACATCAAACAGAACATTTCAGAAGGCCTGAAGAATCTGGGACTCCTGAGCTGCCACTGCACAGTCTCTACAATCATGCAGAAGAAAGGAACAGAGGAAGGGCTGAAGTTCAAAAAGAATTCTGCAACAGTGAATGACAGACTGAAAGCATGAGAACCTTAAGAAGGAAATGATCCTGGACAGACAGAAGGACCTGCATGGTAGAGGTACTGAAGGAGATGAAAATAATCCATTGAGGGGCTTAAAAAACAAGAAAGGGCTTTAGTTACCTACAGCTGGGGGGCAGCCAATAAAATCAATCAAAAGTCACGTTAAAGCAAGTGGGGCACAACAACCTAATTCTTGAGATGATTAAAATGCACTTTTGGTAAAAAGCATCAGCAGTTTAGTTCAGTAAGCTTAACCTGTAGCTAGTTTTCTACAAAGTCAAAAGCCAATAAACGCTCTAATTTTTTATTTCTCATAAATGACAGGTTTCCTTCCAAAGTAATGGAAAACACTAATAACAAAGAGCCAAAACATACATCTTTGAGGTCTCTATTTTAAATATTATTTTATCTGTTTTATACATACACACAAAATATTAAAAGTAAACACCCAGGTATTAGGAAAGGGAAACTAGTAAAAAATGGAGAATAAATGCCCAACTTAGTAGTTCAGCAACCTCAGGGAGTAAAACAACTACCCTTTGAGGATACAGAATTCTTAGCCTGGGTCTATGTGACGGAATCACAGCTATGAAAAAGTCAGGGCAAACTTCAGGGGAGGCCTCAAATCCACAAGTCAGAATGGAGTACTGAAGAACAGTGATTCTGTTTCCATTTTTACGTCACACCCACTACACAGGAAAGCTGCTACTGGGTCTCATTTTGAGACACACATCCTATCCAACAGAGAACAGAAAGCCCTCCAGCAATTACTCTTTCTTCCACAGCCTGTTACCAAAGCTACTGTGTGCAGGGTGGAAAGGGAATCTTTCCTGACAGAGCTGAAATTAGAGCACATCTGAAGAGGCAACTCACTGGGATGAAACCAAGGAGTCACAAGAATAGAATCAATCAAAACAAGAGATGTAAGCAAAAAGGGCTGGAAGAGGGTTATTTGGGGGGAGTAAGCTGGGATTTGCTTTTGTCTTTACGTTTTTACTTTTTTAAAGGTAAGGAGAATGAAGTATGTTTTTTTCCACACAGAATTTGAATGTACTATTGGGTTATTCAGGGAGGTATGTTTTGTGAAGAGCTGGAAAATCTGGTCTGGAGCTAGGATAAAGGACTGAGCTGGACTTAGGCAGACTAAACTTAAGGAGTCATCCATACAATAACAAGAAACAGTAATACTAACACGGTCATCCCTCAGTATCCACAGGGGAGTAGTTGTAGGACTCCCTTGTGTATACCAAAATCCAAGGATGCTCAAGTCCCTTATGTGAAATGGCGTATTTGCCTATAACTTATGTACTTCAAATCATCTCTAAATAACTTATATCTAATATAATGTAAATGCTATGGTTTTAGACTGTGCTTGTATTCTTTTGTTGTATTTTACCCAAATACTTTTTTTTTTGAGACCAAGTCTCACTCTGTTGCCAGGCTGGAGTGCAGTGGTGCAATCTCAGCTCACTGCAACCTCCACCTCCCAGGTTCAGCGATAATCTTGTCTCAGCCTCCCAAATAGCTGGGACTACAGGTATGTGCCACCACACCCAGCTGATTTTTAATTTTTAGTAGAGACAGGATTTCTCCATGTTGGCCAGGATACTCTCGATCTCTTGACCTCATGATCCACCTGCCTCAGCCTCCCAAAGTACTGGGATTACAGTAGTGAGCCACTACACCCAGCCTATCTGAATATTTTCAATTTGCAGTTAATTGAATCCACTGATGCCAGCTACAGTGGCACAGAGAGTATTCCGTGCCGAGCACTGTGCTCAAAGCTTCACACATCTTGCTTCTTTAGACTCCCTCCAGCCCCATAGGCACGATACTTCTGTGCTCTCCATGTGGCAGATAAGAAACCAGGGCACATGGAGGCTGAGTGACTACAGGCTCACACAGCTAGAATGTAGCAGAGCTGAGGTTTCACCCAAGTAACCTGGTTCCAGAGTCCACGCTAGTGGTATGTTAAGGAAGAAAGATCAATCTAGACAGAATAATGTGCATAAACATCACTGCAATGAGATTAGTCAAAGCACAACTACTAAATGGAAAAGAAAATGAAAGGACAGCTAAAAAGAAAAGAGAGTTCTTCAAGGCCACAGAAGCAGAGAAAGGAGAGCCAATAAAGAGAGGTCACCACCACCTACAGACTGCTGGCCCAAGGAGACTATGGTTCTTCAGTTTGTTTTTGATTGCCTAGTACCCAGCACAGTATCTATCAAGTAAGCACATAATAAAAAGCTTGCTGAATAGTGATAAATAAAGGAATGAATGAAATTAGAATGCACAAGCTGAAGTGACAGCTTGTGCTCTGGGCAGGCCATCTCACTCCCAGCCAGCCTGCTATATGGCTATGCTCTCCTGCTTCCACACTTAGCTGGCAATATTCCACCTTCTCAGAACACCCTTCCCAATCCTCATTCCCACAACTGACGTCCAACTCTCACTTTAAAACTGACTTTAACAAAATTTTGGCATGCGACAATCACTTCCTCCTCTAAACTAATTATGCATAATATGTTTGGAAATAATGTGTTATATGACAATTCCTCCATAATCTTAAACTGTTATTTAAATGTTAATTTCCTTATTTGAGTACATTTTATCTTAAATATCTTTGTGCTCTTCAGGGACACAGATGTTTCTTTTCTTATATTTTACCTCATAGTATCCATAAAGTCTATTTGTCATGCCTTACGTATAATTAGTACTCAGGCAAGCTTTATCAATTTTCAAAGATTCTAACAGAAAATATCCTCTGAGACTCGCCAAATATAATAAGTAGGAAACCTATACAGCCCTCCACATTCTTACCTATAAATTTCTGACTAAAAGTACACATTTAATCAAATATCTGGAACAGGTACAGATATTATCTATGTTTATAAAACAGTATCTTAATGTAAAATTAATGTATGAAAATAAAAATTAGATCATTAATCTCATTAGCACAATTTCTTAAAAAAAAAAGGTTAAGAGCATGAAAAGTACTACTAAACAAAAAAGTGTAAGTCTGAACTGTTTCTAAATTGAGTACTTCTGCTAGCTTATGCAGAGAAGGCTCAGAACACCAAGGTAGGGCCTGGAGCCCACCTCATACAGTATGGAATGAATGGAGGATCAAGCAAGGCAATGAGGAGTTGGGATTTGTTCCAGACAGTTTGGCTCATGACCCAACCCTCCTGAGGATCAAAAATCAGAACAGGTATGCCACAGAATCAGAGTTAGTGCATTCCTAATTTTCATTAAAATTTGCACTGATACAATCTGAATGCATTTCATTTTGTTTTTAAAGAATATCTTCTAGTATGAAAACTTAATTTACTATATATACACTAATATGCATGGCTAAACTAAGTAGCCAATAATTAAAATAGAAAAAGATAACACAGGATTATACTTACTTCCCCAGTGGTTGGCCCTTTTTCTTTCTGTTGACAGCGTCTGATCACTTCTAATAATAAAGGTCCACCCACAGTACCTTCTGCTTCAATTATACCTAAATCTCGGGCTAAATTTTCTCGACCTTCAAGACCTTGCAGCTAGAAAAGAAGAAAGATACAAGTGCACAAAAAATAGCAGAAGTTATTTTCAAAGAGTAAAGAAAACATATTCAGAGTATAAAGACATCTCTAAACTCAAAGAGATTGTCTTACTAATGAATGAAACGTCCATTGAAATAAATTATGCCGATTTCCTTTACAGAGTCTCTACCTTCAAACTTTCCATCAACAGGTATAATCTAACATCGTATAAAAATTAACTCTACGGTAACATATTTATTAGCAAACTTTCAAGTTACACAAAGCAGCAACATTGGTGCCAGCTATCTGAAAATTCATATGGCTTTTAAGAAAAACAGATAATCAACTACCAAAAATAATCTAAATGTAAAACACTATCAGTTATCAAATTTTATTCACTTTCAGCTTAATATTAACTCATTTGTATCAAAGAAGGTTTCAAAGGATAGATGTAAAAATCATTATTCTTACTGTGCTAGTTTCAGGTTGAAAAACAGCCAAGGTAAAGTCAAGGTTAAAAAACTGAAGAAATTCTGCAACAAGACTAGCCACTAAACGACCTATAAAGATCAAGAAAAAGGTAGGTAAGCAAATCTTTAAAAACTAATTTTTTTAATTAACATTATGAAATGAATAAGATACACTAAATTAATGAAAGAACGGTTTCTAAATTTTTTAAGTTACAAATTTCTTCTTTGAATAATATGATTAAGTAATGAAAATCTTAATCTCCCAATTTTTTCACTGGGATCATCAGTCTGTAATTAACTGCAAGACTGTCATCTCATAGATTTCAGTGTTTCGTTTTTTAATAGTTAATATTGGCTTTCTGTACTAAAATTGGCTTTAACCAACATCCCGAGACCAAAAATATGTAATAGCAACATGATTGTTGTACAATGAAATACTATTTTAAAATGAGGACCTATAAGAATTGCAGACTTAAAAAAAACCCTGAAATTCCTGATTTCTCCCAAATGGTATCAAGATTCAAAAACTCAGAGATAGATAAACAAGAACAAGCTGAATATCTTACCGTCTTTGGTATTTAAAAACTTTTTCAGGCTCTCATTGACTAAAGGAGTTTTGTTCTGTTAAAAAAAAATAAAAGATTTTAAGTGTCATGTGTTTACCCTAAAAACAGCTATAAAATATCAACTTAAAGCTTTCATCCATAAAATTATGGTTTTACAAAATCCATTCTACAACCGTTGATTACTATAGGACTTACTTTGTGCTATTTAGTAATTTCTCAAAGTTAATATACCAAAACTATATATGAAGATTTGCATTTATTTTTATTTTTTAAATGTTTTATAAACTGCTTATTAAATGGCTTTTGAAGCTAGATATTTTTTCTTTTTTTTTTCTTTTTTTAAGACGGAGTCTTGCTCTGTGGCCAGGCTGGAGTATAGTGGCGCAATATTGGCTCACTACAACCTCTGCCTCCCGAGTTCAAATGATTCTCCTGCCTCAGCTTCTTGAGTAGCTAGGACTACAGCCACCATGCCCAACTAATTTTTGTATTTTTAATAGAGACAGCGTTTCACCATGTTGGCCAGGATGGTCTCGATCTCTTTTTTTTTTTTTTTCCCCATTTATTTATTGCATTTTAGGTTTTGGGGTACATGTGAAGAACATGCAAAATTGTTGCATAGGAACACACGTGGCGGTGTGATCACCTATATCTGGCATTTCTCCCCTTGCTATCTCTCCCCAGCTTCGCTCTCTTTACCTCATGATCCACCTGTCCCGGCCTCCCAAAGTGCTGGGATTACAGGCTGAGTCACTGCGCCCGGCTGAAGCTAGATATTTTCAAATACTTGTGTGAAATAAAATTAAATGCAAACAACTGTTTATTATTTCAAATATATGAAGTTTGATATTCTGTCATCTCAGATACCTGCCATTTATAGCATGGCTTACTATAAGCAGGAATTTAATTATACACTTGTAATTCCCAGTTTAACCATGAAATGTGAGATGATCTTATGTGGCCCATAGGCCGACTTATTTTTTAATTACACATTTATTTGAAGAAGTATGGAGAAAACACTTCTAGCCATCAAACCTGTGACTGTTGCTGAGAACAGGCTAGGGTAGGTAGCACATGTTAAGCTTCCTAAAGACCACATTAATTACTACCACAGGGGCAGCCTCATACATATACTGCTAATGGGAATGCAAAATGGCATAACCAGTTTGGAAAGCAATTTGATAGTGTTTTTAAAAAGTCACAAATATTTCTAGCATGTGACCTGCTCACTTTACCCCTACCTGTTTTCTCAAGAAAAATCACAGATCCAAGCAAAGACTTGTACGTGAATGTTCACAGAAGCCTTACTTATAATACTCAAAAACTGGAAACAGCCTAAATGTCTATCAACAGGTAATGGCTAAACTCTTATATCCATACAACATATTAATGAAATGATTTATTAATACATCCTACAATATGAAAGAATTTCAAATGCATTATGTTGAAACTAGACCAAAAAAAAAAAAAAAAGAGTACATACTCTATGATTCCATTTATATAATTCTTAAAAAGGTTTGGGGTGGGGAAGAGGGTTACAAAAGGAGCACGAGGAAAACTTCTGAAGGTCATGGATATGTCCACTACCTTGATTGTGGTGATCATTTCACAGTTGCATAAATTAACTATTAAAAAATCAAATTGTACACTTGAAGTTTATTAAACACTTGAAATTTACTGTAGGTCAATTATACCTCAATAAAGTTGTTAAAAGACAAGGAAAGGTGAGATCATCAAGATATTTGGTAGGGTGGTTCAGGGAATTCTAAAATACTGAGTCAACTGAAATATTTAAAGAAAATGGAGGGACAAGATCAGATGTGTACTATAAACAGCCAATCTAGGAGCAATGTGGAAAAAGGACTTTAGGGAGACGGTGAGGGATAACATGTAAAGGGAGACTACTGAGTAGGAAGGGGATAAAGCAATCTGGAAAAGAAAAAAACAAGCACAAAGCAGGCAGCAGAGCACTCCCTCAGGGACACTTCAGATATAAACCTGACAGAGCCAGATGATAACTGAGCAGGTGGAAAGAAGAGCAAGGCCTAAGAAATGCTTAGATTTCTTACCAGATAAATGATGGTCCCATTAAGGGCAATATAGTGGGGAGTTTAATATACAGGTCTGAAACTCAGGAGAGAAATATGCATGAAAGATACAGGACTGGAGTCACTAGATGAATAAGGTCAGCCTGTGAGAGTACAGAATGACATCTGTGGGATAAGTCTCAGTCAGGTGTACAGGAAAAAGATCATGCAAGAAACCAAGGAGTGGTCAAAAGGAAAAAAAACAAAAAAAAACAAACAGAAAAAGGTCTCAAAGGTCAAGGAGATTTTCAAGAAGGAAGGAGGAATCAAGAATGTCAATTATAGGCCTAGCATGGTGGCTTATACCCATAATCCTAGCACTTTCAGAGGCTCTCGTGGGAGGAATGCTTGATCCCAGGAGTTCGAGACCAGCCTGGGTAATATGGAAAGAACTCATCTCTACAACATGTTTTTTTAAAAACAAAAACTAGCTGGGAGTTGTGGAGCATGCCTGTAGTTCCAGTTACTTGGAAGGCTAAGGCACAAGGTTAAGGTTACAGTGAGCCATGATCGTGCCACTGCACACCAGTCTGGCTGACAGGGCGAGAGACTTTGTATCAAAAAAAAGAAAAAAAAAAGAATGTCAAATGCCACAATGACCAACTAAGATAGGTAAGAACTAAAATATACTCACAATTAAGACATTCTTCTTGATTGTAGCAAAAGAAATTACTTAGGGTGGTAGTGGTAGATTTAAGATTTTAAGGGACTAAGGGGAGCCCAGAACATAAGAAATGGAATAAGCACGCACATTCTTTTCAAATGTGGCTGTGCACACCTGTAGTCCCAGCTACTCCAGAGGCTGAGGTGGAAAAATCCAGCCCAGGGAATTGAGACTGCAGTGAGCTATGACCGTACCATTGCACTCCAGCCTGGGCAAAGGAGCAAGACCCTGTCTCAAACAACCAAAGCAAAGCAAACCAAACCTGCTGTGAAGGAAAAAAAAACACAGTGGTATTAAAAGCAGAATCTGAATAAAGGAAAACGGTTTACTCCTAATAGTCATTTAAACATGTTTTCATGCTCAACAGAAAAGCCAACAGAAAGGAAGAGGTCAAAGATATAGTAAATAATTAAAGACTTGAGAGTATACATAGGCAATGCAATTATTCTTGGACAGGACAAAGCCTATTCTTCTAAAGCAGGAAGGAGGTACAGATAAATACAGACACAGGTAAGCTTTTTCACAGGTGAGTAATAGATTGGGGAACAGGAGGACATAAAGTTAGGATCTGATGGCTTCCATCTTCCCTGTGGAGGAAGTAACAAGATCATGTGTTCAGAGAGAAGGAAGCAGGGGTGACGTAGAGGGCTACTGCAGTTAGGGTGAAAAACAGAACTGCTGCCTGCTCAGGAGCTACCGAGGCTGGTGCCTGCCAATTTGCAGCATTAGCAATCCACATGGTTGATTTAGTTTTCTCCAGCAGCACATACGTGCAAAGTGGGAAAAGAGTTAGTTTGCTGGGTTAAATGACCATTGAGATTTCTTCCAGACCAAGTATGACTGACTGTAAGGCAAAGTAATTGGAAGGCAAAGTAATTAGAGGTCCAGACCAAAATGTTACCAAGAGAAGACCAAGATGCTTGCAGACATGGAAAGGACAAAGAACTAAAGGGTTTGATGAAATTAAAGATTAGGTATACAGGTCTAAAGAAGTGAGAGAACAGGAGACTGATTTGTCATAGAGCAAGAGTTTAAGACTTTGGGCCGGGCGCGGTGGCTCAAGCCTGTGATCCCAGCACTTTGGGAGGCCGACGCGGGTGGATCACAAGGTCAAGAGATCGAGACCATCCTGGTCAATATGGTGAAACCGCGTCTCTACTAAAACTACAAAAAATTAGCAGGGCATGGTGGCACGTGTCTGTAGTCCCAGCTACTCAGGAGGCTGAGGCAGGAGAATTGCCTGAACCCAAGAGGGGGAGGTTGCGGTGAGCCGAGATTGCGCCATTGCACTCCAGCCTGGGCAACAAGAGCGAAACTCCGTCTCAAAAAAAAAAAAAAAGACTTTGATGTTGGTTCCACTCTTGTTGACAAATTCCAGAATATTTACTCAGGATAGTTGTTGGGAGTTGGAAAAAGTTAAATTACCCACTTTAATACAGAGAAGTGGCTGAACTTTTAAAATAATCACTGTCCTTTTTATTGTCAAAATAACTGGTCAGATAATTTGGGGAAAAGTTGCATATACTATATACCCCCATTTCATAGGGATTAATAACATATATTAACTTTTTAAAGGTTCCGAGTGAACCTGCACTTAACATTGACAATGGAACCATTTCTTCAAGAAACTCCTGACCTTTTGTTTGAGACTCAGCATTGGTATCAGTTATTGCACTACCTTAACTTTAAGATTACCCCCAAATTAAAAGCTACACGAAAAAAGATTAATTTTGGCTTTCTCTCAATAGTAAAATAATCCTTAACAGTTCTATTTTTGAGACGGTTTTTAACGAATGAGAAATTAAGGACTAACGAATACAGCCATGTTAAAACCTGGAAACTTCATACCTCTACTTTTTCTTGCTCTTCTAGTGCTAAAAACACGGCTGCTCGGAGTTCCGCCTTGAAAAAATAGTTAAGAAACAAGAAATTATTATTTCAAGACAATTTTCACAAGCTCACATTTAGCCAACAACAAACACCAGCAAGCCAAAGAGCTGGGCCGGCAGGTGCAGAGGTTAAAAACGCCCTCAGAAACGTTCTCAGTCACACAAGCTCTGCAACCCCCACGCCTCGGCTGGACGCGCTGCTTTCCCTCCGTGGATCGTGCCTGAGCCAGAGGAAGAGACGCTGGGGCCCGCTCCCAGACCCATCCGCGGGTCGCCCTTGTGGCCCCCAGGCCCCGCCCCCGCGGGATGCTGCAGGGGACCGGCCAGGCGCCTACAGCCCGCGCTGCACTGCGGGGCCACACGAGCTAACGAGCCGAGCCCCTCCGTGGGGCAGGCAGAACGGAGGCCCCGCCGAGGCGCGCCCCCAGTGCCCGCCGGCCCCGGCCCCTCGCCAAGAAGCCGGCCTCGTAGCCGCGACCGTTATGACGCCCGCTGTCCACGCAGGCCCTGCGGACCCGGCAGGCCCGGCCCCAGCCTCCGGCCTCACCTTGATGCGGTTCAGTACCCCGCTGTTCTCCAGCGTCTGCACCAGCAGGTCCCGGAGTTCCGTGTCCTCCTCGGCCACCACTGCGGTCGCCGTCGCCGCCATCTTGCTTCTCCAAGACAACCGCCCAAGACGCGCTAACGGCCAAAGGCTGCCGCAGGGTCCGCTCCGCGCGCCGGCTACGGGGCCGACGCGACCAAGGTCCCGCCCCGACGCCCAGCGCGCGAGCCCCGCCCACTGGCGTCGAGAGGCGGGGCGTGGAGACCTCGGGGTTGACGCGGGGCACCCGGCCTTGAGGAGCAGCGGATCACCTAGTGCTGAAACTCAGTGCGGGCGCTGGGGGCGGAGCCGCAAGTCGCGGGCGGGCACGCAAGGGGCGGAGCGTCGAGGCGTGGGGGCGGGGCGCCGGCTCGGGCGCGGGGCGGAACCTCGATTGCGAAACCCATTGGCCGCAGTCGCCTGAGGCGCGAGCTTTGAAGCCCGCGGGTGCTGAAGAGAAAGTGCCCTCGCGCCTGGAGAGCAGACTCCGCTGGCCACTGCCGCTTCCCACCGCCTCAGGATCGCTGGAGTCAATTATTGACGTCATTAAGGCTTACTAGCCTAGAGCCGGACGGACCGCGGGAAGGAGGCCCCGAAACCCAACTGCGGCTCCGCGGGCGTCGGGGAAGGGACTCCCGAGAGGTCGCGAGGGCGCTAGGCCCTGCCGGTTGTCACCCAGAAATAGCGTTCGGAGGCCCCCCAACCGGGCGAACGGACCCTGCTCTCCCAGGGCCTCCGAGGCTACCAGGAAAGGCGCCCGGGTGCAGGGGCGGCACGGCCCCAGGAAGAGCCGAGGGCCGAGGAGGGCGTGGGGTGGGCTCCGCGCTGCCCGAGCTGGGGCCGCGGCCCTCCGCCGACATCCCGGAGAGTCCTGGACCCCTGCCGGGCCCTGGAAGCTCCGTTCCGCCGGAGCCGACGCGCTCTCGAGGTCTCCATCCTGCCGCCTGGGCTGCCCGGCGCCCCTCGCCTTGGCAAATCAGCTCTCCGGACCCAGCCCTGCCTCGGGAGAGTGTGGGTGCACAAGGCCAGCCGGCCTGTCGGCCCCGGGGTTTCGGAGGGCGCCACTGTATGGGGGCGTAAGCCGAGAAATGTCGAGGCCGGGCTCCAGCAATTGAGAAGCTGATGTGGCCAAGGTGAAGGACGCGCCCGGAGGAAGAAAACGGGAGTCAGATATGGGCGGTGGCCGCGCCTTTTCCGAGGACGGCGTCAAGGGCCTCAGCGCCTCAGAGACGGCGGTGCGACCCACGTGGCCGGCGGAAAGGAGCAGCCTTAGGGAAGCCACGGGAAGGCCGGCGGAAAGGAGCAGCCTTAGGGAAGCCACGGGAAGACCGGCGGCCTTTCGGGCTCGGCGCTGTGACGCGCGACCCTCTCCTTGAAGCCCTGAGCTCAGGCGCCAAAGGAAAGGCTGCTTCGGGCAGAATTCAGCTTTCAGCTTAAGTTTTTTTTCCTTTGGCCGAGTCAGTTGTGGTTCCGAGTTCTATTTTCCTTTCACTGGTATGTGTCCAAGAATCAATCTTAGGAGATGCCTGCTGGCCGCTTTGGGGTAGGGCCCAGGTGCCCACACTGGCTTCCAAACCCCTCTCTGTGTTCCTGGTTGTGGCTGTGCACGTACCTGTCACATTTGAACGCACAGAGCATCAACACTGGCTTCCAAATGCATCTCCGTGTTTTTTCTTTTATCCTTTGTTTGAGACGGAGCTTTTTGCTCTTATTGCCCAGGCTGGAGTGCAATGGCGCAATCTTGGCTCACTGCAACCTCCATCTCCCTGCTTCAAGCGATTCTCCTGCCTCAGCCTCCCAAGTAGCTGGGATTACAGGCATGGACCACCACGCCTGGCTAATTTTGTATTTTTAGTAGAGATGGAGTTTCTCCATGTTGGTCAGGCTGGTCTCGAAATCCCAACCTCAGGTGATCCGCCTGCCTCTGCTTCCCAAAGTGCTGGGATTACAGGCATGAGCCACTGTGCCTGGCCTATCTCCGTGTTCTTGTTATTGGGTGTGCACACACGTGTCAGGTGTGTACACACAGATCACAGGGCGTCCACATCAGCTTTCAAATGTGTCTCCATGTTCCTGTATGTGGGAGTACATGCACATGTCACATGTGTACACACAAATGACGGCATCCACAATGGTTTCCAAATGTGTCTGTTCCTGTATGTGGGTGTGTATGCACGTGTCACGTGTACACAGATGACACGGCATCCACAATGGCTTCCAAATGTTTCCTGAATGTGGGTGTGTACACACATGTCACATGTGTGTGCACAGATCACAGGGCATGCACATCAGCGTCCAAATGTGTCTCCATGTTCTTGTATGTGGGTGTGCATGCACGTATTATGTATGTATACACAGATCACGTGGTATCCACACTGGCTTCCAAATTTTCTCTGTGTTTCTGCATGTGGGTGTGCATGCACGTGTCAGATGTATACACACAGATGACAGGGCATCCACACTGGCTTCCAAACACACATGTGTCACATGTGAAGAGGCTGGAAGAGGTAAGGTTCATGAAGGTGCAGTGCAGTGTTGTACTGTTGGCACTTTGTGTGTGTTTGGTTAGTTTTGCAAGAATATGTTGGTGAAGGAGAGAGAAGGCCAAACAGCTGATGAGCAGTGTGACTGAAATTCAATATATACAGAAATGACAAAACATCTATGAACAAAAGATTTTGTGACCATCCCCCTGAGATTATCACTCATGCAGTCTGCAGGAAGTTTCAAGAATCCACATTTTCTTCTAATATACATAGTCTGCAGGTTATAATTTGATACACAAATAGCATATATAAGGTAAAAAAGAAAAATTTGAAGTTTCCTGCCTAGCCCAATTCTTCTCCTCACTGGTAGAGTCTGTTAAATTTTTCCAGACATATTAATACCTTTTATACAGTTGACTCTTGAATATTAGTTTGAACTGCTTGGGTAGACTTATTTGTGGATTTTTTTCAGTAAATGGAAATTTTTTGGTGATGGCAATAATTTTGTGAAAAACCTCAGATGGCTCCCTTAGCCAAGAAATATGGGGGTGGGGGACAAGAAAAAGCTAGATATGCCGTGAATGAATAAAATATATGTAGATACTAGGCTATTTTATTATTTACTATCGTAAAGTATATACAAAGCTGTTATAAAAAGTTAAAATTTATCAAAACAGTTACATGGCACCCATTAGTTTGAAGAGAAATGTAAACAATTGTAAAGATGCAATATTAAATCATAACTGCATTAAATTCCTGTAGTACATAGTGTACTACTGTAATGTTTTTGTAGCCACCTCCTATTGCTATTGCAGTGAGCATAAGTGTTGCTTGTATTGGCTAAAAATGCCAAGTAACATAATCATCTCTAAGTGAGCAGTTGATCTTTTTAGTACATTACATATCACAGTAAAAGGTAAGCTCTTGAGATTCCCACACATTTCTCATTGTGCTTAGTGCAGTGCTGTAAACCTTGGATAACACCATGGGACCCTTATAAAGTGCCACTAGTAATGCTGGAAATGCTCCTGAGAAGCAGAGAAAAGTTATGAAATTATGAAAAAGTTGAATTGCTTGCTACATATTAAGGTCTGCAGCTAAGGTTGCCTGCCATTTTGGCTAAGTGAATCCAGCATAAGGACTGTTTTATAAAAAGAAAGTTTATGAAGCCATCACTTCAGCTACACCATCGGGCATGAAAACCTTGCACTTTTTGGAAAATACCTTTTTATCTCATTGCAAATGCAGCTTTTTGTGGATACAGGATTGCTGTGAGAAAGACATATACTCTAATGTGATTCAAGAAAAAGTGAAGTCATTATCTGACAAAGCAAAAGGAAGATGAAGGTTGGTATGATAATTTTAAAAAGAAGTTTGGCTTTTAAAAAACGTCAAGATAACAGGAGAAGCAGCTTCTGCTGAACCAGATGCAGCAGACGGGTTCCCAGACACCATTAAGAAAATGACTGAGGACAAAAGGCCAGACTTGCTGGCTTATGCCTGTAATCCCAGCACTTTGGAAGTCTGAGGTGGGTGGATTGCTTGAAGCCAGGAGTTTGAGACCAGCCTGGCCAATTGGCAAAACCCCATCTCTTCTAAAAATACAAAATTTAGCCCGGTGTGGTGGTGCATGTCTGTAATCCCAGCTACTGAGGAGGCTAAGGCTTGAGAATCGCTTGAACCTGGGACGAAGAGGTTACAGTGAGATTTCACCACTACACTCCAGCCTGGGAGACAGAATGAGACTCTGTCTCAAAAAAAAAAAAAGAAAGGAAATCACTGAGGTTAAAATATACCTGCCTTAACAGGTTTTTAAGGCAAACAAAAGTGCCCTATTCTGGGGGAAATAGTGCCACATAGGACATTTATTAGGAAGAGAAACAAACATCAGGATCCAAGGTAGGAGAGGATGAGCTGACTCTACTGTTTTGTGCAAATGCAGCCAGATTTGTGATCAGGACTGCCCTTATCTGTAAAATTGAGCCTTGAAGAGGAAAGATAAACACCACCTATGAGTCTTTTGGTTATACAGCAAGAAGGCTGAACAGCAACGCTTTTTCTGGATTAGTTATATAAATGCTTTGTTTCTACTGTCAGGAAGTACCTTGCCAGTAAAGGATTGAATTTAAAATTCTTTTGGTATTGGACAATGCCCCTGGCCACCCAGAACCCCATGAGTTCAATACCAAACACAATGAAATGGTCTGCTTGCCCCTAAACCCAACATCTCTAATTCAACCTCTAGATCAGGGAGTCATAAGGACCTTTTAAGGATGATTACACACAGTACTCTATGGAAGAGAACCCCAATTGAGAGAATATCGTGAAAGTCTGGAAGGACTACACCATTGACGATGCCATTGTTTTAGAAAAAGCCATGACAAGCCATCAAGCCCAAACAACAAATTCTTGCCTGGGAAAACTCCAGATGTTATACATTACTTCATGGGATTTATGACAGAGCCAATCAAGGAAATCATGAAAGATATTGTGGATATGGAAAAAAAAAAAAAGAAAAGGTTTCAAGATACGCATCTTACAGAAATTCAAGAACTAAGAGACACCACACCAGAGGAATTAACAGAAGACCACTTATGGAGATGACTCCTTCTGAACCTAGTGCCAGACGATGAGGAAGAAGATGAAGCAGTGCCAGAAAACAAACTGACATTAGACTGTCTGGCA